AAAAGTAACGAAAAGTTATTTTTCAAGTAACGGTAACTGTAACGAGTTACTTTTAAAAAGCGATAACTGTAACTGTAACTAGTTACATTTTTTACTCGGTAACGAGTAACTGTAACTAGTTACTTTTAAAAAGTAACTTTCCATTCCCTGTAAATATCAAATGTTTCTGACATTAAAAAAAAGACGGGCTCTCCCTCAGTCATATCCGACCATCGTATTAAATTTGATCACAATTTTAAGTGGAATGATGTTGAGATTTTGGACATTGAATCATACAACAAGAGATTAGTGTCTGAAATGTTTCACATTAAAAAACAAAAACAGGGCTTTAATAAACAGAATGAGACCGAATCGTTACCAGAAAATTACTCACAAATTATACATTCTCTTTCTCCTTCTTAAAGATTTCCTCTCGTTACATCTTATGTTTCTCCCATTCTCTTTACCAAATCCTTTTACCCTCTCTTGAGAATTGCTTCCCCTCTCCTTTACCATTTTTCACCTAGAATATCTAACATTTTGACTCTGAACATTGTAGAGTCATGTATTCAAAATTATACTTCTCTCATCGCATTGTCTCTATAAAATAAAACAACTTAATAATTGTTTGGACCGACATATTTTCAGGTAATCTACTTAAAAGTCGCTTATTATATAATTTTTATATCTCAGTTACTTTTAACACATTTTTACATTACACGTTTATTTTTTAACAGAAACTATGATTACGCGGTATAAGATTACCTTACCATATTATTACACCACTTCATTGTTTGCGGACGATAACATTAATAGCGTTAATTAGATGTCTTTTGCGTTTGAGAAAATGTTTTTATTGTTAAAAATTGTATTAATTTATTACTTTGTTTTTACCGTTACTTATTTTTCGAACATAGAAAATGACCCGATAGGGGTCGAAATGTTTGTTGTTGTCTTTTGGTCTTTGTCTTTTACATTAAATATATTTTAAATTAATGACATTCAATGTTTTATTATTTTTTAATTAAATGAAAACAATTTTTTTACTTAACTGTTGATGACACTTGGCTCGTAGCCCTCTTCTTTCTTATATATTATTATGTATCTACTTTATGTAAGATCTATCTATTTTCTCATGCAGTTTCTTGTTTCCATTTTTTGCGCTTTGTAACAATAACATTGTTGCTCTTTTTTCTGGTAGATGAGCAGCAGATTTACTGTCTCATTATTTTGTGCATTCGTACAATGTTATTTTTACAATATTATTTTCTCATTAAATCTCTGTAATTATTCAGTTATTATTGATGCACAAATCAATTATGTTTTCATATAGTAATAATTAAAACAAAGTGAAGGACAATGAGAGTCAATTCGTAAGTAAACAAAAAAGCGATTATAACATTAAAATTATAATATGAATTTTTAAAGAAAAAGAAAAAGAATACAATGAAATACTTGACCGCTTTAGACACAATTAAAAATTAGAATATCAGTCAATATATAATAATATAAAAAATCGCTCGATGTAAAATGTCGTAACAAGTTTCGACTCTTGGTTTGAGTCCTCTTCAGACGTTCAACAAAAATTCCTTATTCCAATATTAAGACAACACACTTCTCACTGACTCCTCGATTTCTTTCTTCGTTACACAACATTGGCAATACAAGATGGCAAAATCGTATATTGAAACAATGTATCTGTAACTTGGCATGAGAACAAAATGAAAAGATGTGAAAATAATAAAATTCAAAAAAAAATTGTCTAACTCACCAGCGAAAACGATTTGTCAGTTTACAATATAAATAAAATAAAATAAAAAAAAAAGTCATAGAGTAAAATAAACATAAAAGTAATATAAAACATTTTCACAAAATTTATTGTATAAAATATGTAAAATAAAACGAATGCAAGGATTAAGTGTACTGAAACGTTTAACTATCTTGCAAATACTGTGATATAACAACAAACCTAAGCAGTGTGTCGATTATCGGTAACAAAAGATCAAACCTTATTTACAATGGGAATATATGAATCGTGAAGACCTTCAGTGTCTGTATGTAAATTAAGACTATTTTTCTGCTTTTTAATGTTTAGCATCTCAGAAATTATTCGCTTTCTATAATTAGGTTCTTCATCTAAAATTTTAACATCTTCCCATTGAAAGTCATATGATCATATTGCAATCTGTGATCCGTAATAACCGAACGGTATTATGTCTAATATGGCTACGGTGTTCATTAATTCTGTTTTCATATAGTTACATTCCGTTTCATACATGATATGCATAATTCAAGAGACACGATAGTATCTCGCGCCAAGTGAACGCTCAGTGCCTCGCAGTTTATACGCGAATCGACGAGTTGTGAACAATCGAGAGTATTGGATTTCAATAATGGTTGAACCGATCAAATTCTATGTATGCTCAATCAATAACCACCGCTCATGTTGTGTAATAAAAGTTTTTTTTTGCCAAGTTTTTTCTTCATGTATTTTTTAGAATAGAATGGAATTGAAAATACGTATATAGGTATACAGTTAGAAGATTATACACATATAATAGATATATCATTATAGGCATAAAGACGTTAGCATTTGGATTTCAGTTTCAAAAAAATAATTACTTTGTTAGTTTGAAAAGTAGGTTTGGAGTTATTATATTATTTTGAAATAATTATTATTTTGATGGTTATTTGGAAAGTAGGTTTGGAATAGGTTTGGAAAAATTATTATTAATTTGATAGTTTAATGTTTCAATAATAATATATTTTCTGTTTATAATTGGTGCAATTAAAAGATTTCATGTATTTTTTGAAAAAAATTATTTGGTAGTCATAGTTTGGAATGGAAAGTCCTTTTTTTCTTCAAGGAGCACACCTACAAACACGTACTCTATACTTGAAGCCTTTTTTATCTTTTTGTAAAAGTGGTAAATAAAATAGATTATTATTATTGTACGAAGAGAGAATATTACTAATTGTAAGCCGACTCCCGGCCGAAGTAATATTTTTCGCAATATAAATTTATTGTTTACAGATTTTTAATGTCATTCATAGATTTTAATATGTCATTCAACATTATTAAGATCCAAGATGTTATGTTGTTTATTGTGAGTTAAAATTGTTAAATATTATTTATCCTTATTGACCTTATTTAACATTCGATGAATAAAAATTAATGCATCATATGTGATACGATCGAGATACACTAAAGGTAGATTCCACTTAACGCTCGCAAATCGTTTGTCTTTGTTTAACATTTGATAAACAACAAGGATGGAATGATTTCACAAGCGTTGTTAGTGTTAAATAATACGCATTGTACGTCGACAACAGTCGGCCATCAAGATTGTTGAGGAATATGATTGCGTTTTATTTTTAACACTCACAACACTCGTGGAATCATTTTATCCTTGTTGTTTAACAAATATTAAACAGGGACAAACGATGCTCGTGAGTTTTGCAAGTGATAAGTGAAACAAAACCGAAATTGATATTGAGTTGCGATAAAAATATTTAGAAACTTTTAGGACCGGTTTTAGGCTGTAAGCATGACGGTAATAGTACGGGAGGCCAACCGGGGATTTTGGGATTTACTCGAGCGCGTCAGAATAACATAAAGGGGGAAAGTTTGCACCCTAAAGCGGGGTACCCCCACCAAATATGAAACCTCTATATAGAGCCGGGGGTCCAGGGATTAGTAAATAAAAAAAATCGATCGTTCGAAAACTCGAGCGCGTCAGATTAAGGTATGGTGTGTTAATTACATGTAGAAAAGCGTACATTTCAAAAATCTGACGCGCTCGAGATGCGCTCTGGAAATTTTTTTTTTTTCCCCTTTTTTTGACCCCTTCCTACAGCTAACCCCACCACGTAAACCGTCAGATTAATATTTATCCGTTATGGAACGAAAGGTTGGACGAAACGAAAGGTAGGATACTGTATAAACTCTGGAAAGAGAGAGAGAGAAGGTACTCAGAAATAGGGATCAAAAGAAAGGTGTAGAAGGTGAGGCAAAAGAAATTTCAGACTGAATAATTGAGGTATTAGTAGGCGTGTACGGGTTTAAGAGTGTGGATGTACGTGAAAGTAATGTATAGATAAAGAGCGGGAATTGTGAGGTGAGACACTTAGTATTTAGTCACTTAGATATTAAGATAGATAGGCGGCATGAATTGTGATTTAAGCGCAAATTGTGATAGTATATGGCTGTGTATAGAGTATGCTTCAGAGGAGCGTGCGAAGTAAACATAGAAGGTATGGAAGAATGTGTGCAATAGGTATTTATGTAAACCAAGTCCCCTTCTTGGCTATGTATGCTGAAGTGAATAAATTTCTATTCTATTCTATATTTATCCGTTATCAGAAAAACATGGGTCGCTTACACTATTAATATCTGACACGCTTCGAGTATTGCATTGTCACTGTTTTCTTTGAAAACCTGTACACGCTCCCCCACCACTGAAACTGCATACATCATATAACCTTTTTTTCTTTTTAGCATCTAATCTTCACAATCCAATAGGTCCCCACGATGCTCGAATAAATCCACATTTAGCCTCTCGGCCTCCCATACTATAAGCGTTATATCGGAGCGCCTTGAAGCGGAGGCGCTTTAAAACATAATGCCAAAAACATTACATGTTTAAATATTGAAATATTGAAAATTTGTTTAAAAAAATGAATTGATATTTTGTATGAATTATATGTTCGTTTATTATTATATATTATACAATATGAATGTGAGGAAATAAGAGGAAGAAAAGGGGGCGTTTTTTTCAAATCTTCGGTAGAGCGTCAAACATGTTGAAATCTGCTCTGTAGATACTTGCAATTAATTATAATTCTTAGTTGTTTGTATAGTTACGTAATTATTAATTGTTACAAAACAGATATATGTTATGGACATTATAATATTTATGTGAACTGTATAATAAGAGAAACTTCAGAAATGGTATCCTTGGATTTAGATGTCTATTTTTTTTCTTGATAACTTTACAAGTCAGATAAAAAATTCTGTATTTGGTGATTTTTTCACAGTTTTCGAGTTTTTAAGTTTTGAAAATCGACCGTGTTTTGGGCAGCGTAAATTAGTCGTTCCATTAATTAATATGTTTCGCAAGCAGTCCTACGATTGACTGAAAAGCCATCCTTCGACTTCTAACGCAAGCACCTAATTATTTGAGCCAATCGTATTAACAATCGATTTTTAAAATTTAAAATCTTGAAAGCCTATATGGAAAAATCGCCGAACACAGAATTTCGTTTCTGACCTGTAGAGGTACCAAAAAATTGGCATAAATCCAATTTCCGGTGTTCCCCTTGTAAATCAAATTGGTAATTTCGTAAATATTACTTTAGTCCTTAAAATGGTTTCTATTTTATATATATATATATATATATATAGACTTAAGTATAAGCTCCAAAGATAAACTCGAAATAAATGATACATATTACCAATAAGAACTGACACTAGTTATTTATGTGTAATAAACTGCATATATTATCATTCCTTCTTTTATTTTGTAGTGAATAAAAATCGAACATTGGATTCGCGTTCGACTGGGTTCCCTTATGAAACGGTATATCAAAGACAATTCGTGCGCGATGTAGTGTAGATGTACAAAAATAGTTCGACGAATCGCGTGAGAATTGCATACAAATTGTCTTTAATGTATTGCTTCATGAGGGAACCCAGTCGAACGCAAATCGAATGTTCGATTTTCATTCGCTTTGACATAAATTTTCTGAACACAACCAACGAATGTTCGCATTCGCTGTTCGTTTGCTAGATGTATACGCGGCTTTATACACTGAAGAAGACCCAATATCCAATACCAAAAGTTGTAATTTCTATAATTCTATATATATTTATATAATAATATATTTAGTTTTATCATACATAAATATAACTAATGTTAGTTTTCATTGGCATTACACATTTTGTTCATCTTTTGTGACTTTATCTTGGGAGCCTTTAATTAAGCCTTATATTTGGTTTCTATTTATTTTTCATTATATTGTTAGTTCATTTTTATTTAATGATATATACATATATTTTGTTAATATAAATAAAAAATTTCTTATAAAAAATTTAAAAAGGGCCTACAAATGTATTTATCACAAGTGATTTATTAAAATGTACATAAATATATTACTATGGCTTTTTAAATTTTTTATAGTAAGTATTTATATTAACAAAGGTATTTTTGTTAAGTTAAATATAAAATTGTAAAAAACATTAATGATTTTAATGGTATTTTACTACAGATTACAGGAAAATGGCAGATCGTTTAGATATAGTAATATTTGGCGCCACTGGATATACTGGAAAATATGTAGTGAAAAATGCAACTCATATGTGTAAGGATGGGAAAATAAAGTTTGGTATTGCTGGTCGTAGGAAAGAAGCTTTAGACGCAGTTGTAAAGGAATTTGTTTTAGGTACTGGTACATTTAAAATTTAGATCTAATTATTCCAATTATAATAGTAAACTATTTTATTTATTATATTAATAAATATTATATTACCTATATGTATCTTACCAGATAATGTGCCTATTATTCTGGCTGACGTAAAAGATGAGGAATCTCTCAAGAAAATGACAGAGCAAGCAAAAGTACTTATCAATTGTTGCGGTCCATACAGATTTTATGGAGAACAAGTTGTTAAAGCATGCATTGCTACTCGCACTCATTATGTTGATGTCACTGCTGAAGAACAGGTAGCAACGTTTACATAACAATGATCAATTGATGTTTTCTAATATCTTCAATATTTTACAGTTTATGATTGAAATGCAATTAAAATATAACGAAGCAGCAAAAGAAGCTGGCGTTTACATAGTAACCGCTTGTGGCATGGACTGTATTCCTAGTGATTTGGGAGTCATTTTTACTCAACAGAAATTTGAAGGAGAAATCAATGCTATTGAAGTATACATGGGCGTGTGGTTAAGCTCTACTGATACGAAAGGTCCAGTGTGTAATTATGGAACTTGGGAATCTTTTGTATACATTCTTGCTCATGCAAAAGAATTACCGGAATTACGCAGAAAATTATATCCTACCAAGTTGCCTGAATTCACACCAAAATTAAAATCAAGGTACACATACATTTCTAGATGTCTTGTGTATATACATACATAAATCCAGAGTTGGAAAGCTTTACTTCTATCGTTACTTATCTCTTATTTTTTGTAATAAATATGATTAAAACTGAAAAAGTCGACTTCTTTCGACTTTAGCGTTTAGTTATAAAAAAATTGCAATGTCATTAACAAATAGTTTATTATAAAAATTAATAAAATTATTATAAAAAGTACCTTCCCAACTGAAATGAAAAAATCGCTTCCCAACTCAGCATACACCATATTTTGGCAAATAAGTCAAATATAAGTAAATTTTCTTTTGCGTATTAAGTATTTAGAAAATATTCAATACTTAATTATTGCAATATTGATAAAAAAAAGGAATCAGTGTGTGTGCGTATGCGTGCGTGCGTGTGCGTGCGTGCGTGTGTGTGGTGTGTGTGTGTGTGTGTGTGTGCGTATGTAAATATAAAATATATTAACGACAAACAGCATTAATAATTCCATTTATTGTAGATGTATAGTACATCGAAGCAATGTTTCTGAAGGATGGTCCACACCATTTCCGAGTGCCGATCGTTCAGTAATTTGTCGTACACAACGATTTTTATATGACAAGTACAAACAAAGGCCTGCGCAAGTTAAATTTTATGCTACATTGAAGTAAATATGATATCAACAGAAATTAATATTGATTAATACTTTTTGTTAAATTCTGTACATTTATTATTAGGTCTTTCCTCGAATTCCTGATGATGGCGATTGGCAGTATACTTTTCTTATTTTTGTCTCGCTTCGCATGCGGTCGTAATTTACTTCTAAAAGTATGTATGCAAGTACTTGCGCGATTGTTAAAATCATTTAGAATATTTAGATAATACAAGATAATTAAATATTTACAGCATCCTGCTCTATTTTCGTTCGGTTACGCAAGTCACAAAAGCCCGAATCCAGAAATACACAAATCGACACATCTTGCTGTTACGTTCAAAGCTAGTGGATGGACTGAAAGATTGGCTAAACCTACTGATAAACATACAGATCCACCTAATAAGAAAGTAATCACAAGATTCTCTTGTGATTCTCCTGGATATGAGTTTACTGGCGTTGCAGTCATGTTATCGGCAATAATAATTCTTAACGAAATTGACAAAATACCTGACAAGTTAGTAAATTCATTACTTATCAATATAAATACCTAACAAATTAGTAAATTATTTACTTAATATAAATCTTATGTCTACTGTAGTCATTTTTTGGAGATTTAAATATTATTCATTTATAGTAGATATGTGTTCCACATAATATACTACCAGTACTGAAAATCTATAATGCATGCAACGTGAGCTATAGATGTTCAGTACTAACGATAAGTTTTAGAACATAGCTAGTATAATTAATGACAATTAATAATTATGACAATTGAAAGACAATTATAATTACGTGTTGAATTTTGGTTTTTTATGTTTACGTATTAATATTTTTACAGCGGAGGAGTACTTACTCCCGGTGCTGCGTTCGGTAGAACATCTCTGATCGAGCAACTGATAAAACATAATTATAAATTCGAGGTGATATCGTCTACTTAGAGAAACAGAAATAAGAAAATTCTTTTATTATAATATTTTAACACATTTTACAATTACTAAGATTTTGACATTAACATTTGTTGTAATTTCGAGAGTAAACTTTAAAATACAATTATATCACAATATTTCAAGGAAGGTATTTATAAAATATATATATATATGTATATATGTGTGTGTGTGTATGTATAATAAATAATCTTTATATTAAACTTTAGTAACTATAATATTTATATATATATATATATAAATATTATAGTTACTAAAGTTTAATAAAGATTACTTATTACACATTAATTGTTATATATTAAAAAAATAGGAGAATGTTTTAAAATTTATATAAAACATACTACATACTATACAATGTTTATTAAATTGTATATTATTTATGAACTTTTAATATATATGATGTAATTTAATATAAATTAATATTTATACTCTTGTAACAAACTTAATATGATTTTTTATTTTTGATATTATCATAATAAATCATCTATATTTTCGTAATATAAGAAATAATTATTCAACACAGCATTAATTATATATCTTATAATTTACAGATTCTCTATTTTTTCCATATTTAAACTTTTTGAAAAAGTTATTAATTCAAAATAACATTCAAATAACATGTTCAATTTTCTTCTCATTTTTGGAATATTATAATCTATTACATATTTTGTATATTTTTAGTTATTCCTCTGAATTTACGTATATATTTATATATCTGTTGTCCCTGATATTACATTTATGACACAATATTTTTAATTTATACAATACTTTATTTGTCTATTTACTAGTTGAATAAGCAATCTTATTTTTACCAATAAAGAAATCTCAGAAACGTCAAAAGAAACTACTGAAACCAGAAATATTGGAAAAGCGAAACAGCAATGAGTATAATAAGAAAGAAATAAGAATATATTTCAACACAGAAACGATACACCAGCGTTATGTGACGCAATGTGCACATTTTTTTTCTATGTAATTCTCCTTTGCTGTACGCATTATTCACGAGAAAGGCAAGCTAAATTACAATTTTATAAAATCTTAGAATCGTTTAGTCAACGCGTCTACGTCATTCTGAGAGAGATTCCGTTTGCGTAAAATCCCTCCGCAATGGAAAATGACTCGACTTTTGCCGATCGTCGACGACGATCGCATAGATTAGGTGTACAACACGTTGCTCGTTGCGATCACTGTCGCACGAGGTATATAATTTATTCGATTTTTCTCGTTTCTGCGGAAGGCCATGTTCCTTGCAAAAAAAAAGAAGGAACTAACGTGATTACAAAATGTGTCGCTATAACCACTCTACCGCAAAACGTAGTTTCATGATTCTTCCTTTTTTCTTTGATCAGAAACCGAACTAAAAACCTACGAACTGGGAACACGACTTCCGAGGACGAGAGCATGGAATATTTAATTTACATGCAAGATGTTTTTTATTTTTCAGATTTAATTGTAACGCTATTCTCTACTCGTCGCGAGTGCATTTAAGAAGAGAAATCGAATAGAAATCGGCTTGTAGGACAGGACTCTTAATTCATTGCATTATATGGAATCGTTTAATATTTTCTAAAGATATGTGTTTAATAATTCGAGAAGAGATGGAAATTGTCAAATTAGAATAACGAATATCTCTGAAATTTGAGAAATAGAAGAGTAGAGATATTCGTACATTTGTAATATTTACAGATTACATTATAGAACGATACGTTAATAATAATCATCATTAGGAACTGATACATATATTATAATTTAACAATTCATCGACCGTAAATAAAAATTTTTTTCTTATAAAAGTATTTTATATAATATCATTAATGATAAATATCAATTCCAAATAATATCATTAATCAAATTTTAAATATCATTTGTGCAAGTGATAGGATTTTTATGTTACGCATATTTTCAGCAACTAAATGCATCGATAACTAATTTTTAATTAGTGATCTGGGTGAGCTTTTTTATTGTTAAACAAGTACAAAATGTCTTTTAGAGCGATCAAGGAAACTCAATCCGAAAGCATGAATGTGTATTATACGAGTATGTATACTCCTTAAGAATTTTTCCATTGGTGATTTTCTGTCATGTGTCATAATTTTATGAGACAAAAATGGAGGTTCTTTTGTGCATTCGATGACGTGGAAAAAGGATAAAATGACAAATATAGCGCTGGTATGAAATTTTATCATTAAAATTTGTATAAAAATTTATATTAAAGAATTTTCAATTTGGATATTGACATATGTATACCTTTATAATGTATTTTTTTCGTTTATTTTTTCTATAAATATTCGATTTCGTGTAAAAATTTTAAATTTACTAGGAAGGATTTGCTAACTTCCTTCCAATTACTCATTTCTACAAACAATGTCCATGTAGGAAGCGTGTCGGCAAGAATCGAGTTCTTCCGCTATGAATTCTCTTATACTAAATGGCAAAAAGACAGGCATGCATGAGCAAAAAGTATCGAGGCCAACTTGGTAATGGGCGTTTTCACTATCGAGGGTAAGACCAATCCTATAGTCAATATTATTCGACCTTGTATCTAGCTAGGTATGATTGTAAAGCCTATAGTTATGTGTAGAAATCAAGTATATTAATCTTCCTTCTTGCATGTATATCAGATTTTCTATATTTACTATACGCTGTACTTACTGCATAGAGACGTAATACAAGATGTTTCACGGAAATGTTAATTTCAGCAACAAATTGTTTTTTTTTTTCTGTAACACTCGATATATATAAGAATAACTATATCAACAAATTTGAAATATTAAAATTCTTAACGCGGCGACAACAGAATTTGAAGTTTGTTTTAGACATCCTATTAACATAAAGTTATAGATAGAATTATAAATACATATATCTTTCTGACGCGCAAATTATAGATTGTCTAAAGTAGGCTTGGTATATCATACTTCGTGAGATTATACAAAGCTGTCTCAAAAGACATAAGAAATAGAAACTGAAGTAGCTCCGTATCAGTAAATAATGATTATAATAAGTCGCTTACATAATGTGTGCTAACAAAAGAATAAAATAATATTATCTCGGATTTATAATTTCTTGTAAGTTTGTCTCGATATTTCTTTATTCGTAATTCAAACTGCTATAATATTCATACAACATTAAGGTATAAACAGAAAATGGGGCTATTTTGACTATTTTTTCTTAAGGAAGATATAACGCCATGGATATTTAAAGCTCGAAACAATCTATAGGTGTGAGTTACTTCAAAGGTGCGGATTAATGTTTTACGCTTTTTGCAAGGGTTGAAAATATGATATCGAGGAACGAGCGAAGAATAAACTTGCCTCTTTCTCTGCAAGGAAATGCGGTAATGCATAAGAACCGGTTGTTTGATGTCGGGATTCACCGTGACGTAGGTACTTTCCGACTCGGTGTTAGCTCTCGCAAAACCCATTTACCCTATTCCTGCTTCTTTTATTTCTTTCTTTGATGCACAGGACACTTCTCGGTGCTGTCACGTGCGTGCATCCGTGCGTGCGTGCGTGCGTGCGTGCATGCGTGCATGCTTACGTCACGTAGATAAAACGGCGCGGCGACTTCTTGCATCATATCTGATTACATTTTGGTTTAATAAATAGCATTTTAATTTAAAAAATTGCGATTCTCTTATTTTTAGTGTAACGCTGGCAAACGTTATATAAGCGCGGTTAATATAACTTACGGAATATTTTATATTTTTTTGTCAATTTTATATTCTACATATATCTACATTACTATGTATCTTGCGTATTAAATTTTGAAAAACGAAATCATTATACTAAACGCGTTAGACATTTCTTACTTTTTTTTTTATTTCTTTATTTCTTACTTATATTTTGTGCATATCTTTTATGCTATAAATTATTAATTGAATCTTAATTGCAGGAATCTAATATCTTAGAATAGAATAAAATTTTATCTTTTTATACATAAACGTTCATGTCAAGATAAATTATAATTAATAAGTACAAGTAGAAAAACTGTTCTGCCTGTGTATACATTTTATGCATGTAGAGTTATTTAAAGATTTAATTACTGATAGAATTAATATCATTTCGGTGACGAACGAAGGAAAGAATGACAACTTAATGTTTTAATGATGGCTGCGTGACATGTCTTTATAGGAAACAACCAAGTGGGAATCCCAGATTCAGTTCCCTAAGGATTTTTCTGATTACACCTTAAGCTGACGTGAAGAAAGTCGGGATTTCCCTATCGACGAAACGAGATAGTCTATCACTAGGCTTTTCTATGTTCTAGGATTTACAGATTTACAAAAAGTCCCTTTTCCTTTTTCCAATTTGTATCACTTGATCGACTAATTCTTTGGCAAACTTAATCATAAAAAATTATCAAGCAGTTATCTAATTAATGAATTAGCTCACAGTGTTATCAAGTTTTATTAAATTTTTATATTAAAATTTTTAAGACCTTAATCTAATTTTGTAATAATATTATATAATAAAATCCACGTTTTTTTTGGCAGGATGGATGAAAGAGACGGATAAATCAATACAAAATACAAAGAAAAAGGAGAAAATCCAAGAGAATAAAGGACACGATTCTATTTAATTCCCCTGATGCACTCAAATCTCAAGGACCAGGCGATTCTGAGTCCTGCGAAGTCATTTCCGCATTGTCGATCATCAATGCGAGCGATATGCATTGAGGAAAAAACTAAATACTAAGAGACTTGATAACGTTTTAAGCCAAAAATCTCTCAATGCGATTTTTAATATTATTTCGATAACTTGATATCTGTCAATATTCTGATGACTCGCTGTAATGTCTGGATACACCAACTTGCATTTCCAAATCGGAGGAAGCAAAAAATTGTCCTCTCTCCCATCATTTCTGACGCGAGGTAGGCTCGTGGCTCTTTGTTATATAGTAGGAGGGAAAGAAAGAGAGAGAGAGAGAGAGAAGCAGGGGCCGCGCGCATATATACGAAAGGACTCGTGGGTGACGTTCGCTCACCACACCACCGTCGCTCGGTCCACGCTCGGTTGAGCTCACAGCTCGCATCAGTCGCGCTCCGCCCGTCTTGAGAATCGTCTGCGTCGCGACTCCTCCACGCGTCCGTCGCTTGTTGCACGCGGTGCCGGCTTCTCTCCTCCTAGCCGTGATTTCCCTCTGTTCTGCTTTGCACGTGCCGTCCTCGCGTGTGTCACGCGCGGCCCTCGCCGGCGTGCAGCCTTCGAGATCGTCGTCAGGACGAACACAGCTTCTTTTGCCGCGAGACAGCAAGCCGCGTTAGAAGTAAGTTCGATCAGCCGATCGGATGCAGAAGAGTTTCGAGAAGCTTTGCTTGTTTATTTCGTGTAAAAAATGTTTCAATCCCTTTTATGGTGTAAAATTCAATTCGATTATTTCGGAAAGATTTGCAAGCGACACTGATTGTTCTTCGTGCGCGTGATGCGGAGTTATAAGTTCTTGATACGGCAAATGTTAAATGTCAAGCGGTAACTGCGAGTGATGTTTAGTGAAGAGAGACACTTTAAAGTGATATCTAATGTCTGTTACATTTTGTTGGATGAAGAGGGAGTTTAGTTGAAATACATAATAACGATGACACAAGATTTTTTTCGCGCGTTTTAGAAAATTTCCGATTGTTTTAATATTGCATTAATGGAACTATTGTCATTATTGCTTAAACATAAAAATGATTATCATATAATTAATAAATAGATTAATGAGATAATGGTGTAAGAGATAACATTGTTTTATGTTGCTTAATATTGAAATATCAATTAATAATAGAAATTCAATAGGCTACGAATCTAAGCTAGGATTTAAGATGCTCTTTAATATAAATAAAATGTAAAATACAAAATTTATAAATATTTTTACCCTTATCGAGTCATCACTTTAAACAACATTTAAAGTACGGTTACATATAAGAACTAGATTCTTTTATACATAAAGTTAAAAATAAAACGTTCTCTCTAAAAGTGAATCAGTGTATTATCACTGACTTCAGTGCTATACTTATAACTGATGTAGTCATTAGTGAATATTTACTGTTTTTTCAGTAATAATATACTAATTCACTTGTAGTGGTTATGATTTCAAGGTTATGAATCATCATTTCTCAAAATGAATCAGTATATTATTACTGAAAAACAGTAAATATTCGCTGATATTACAGTTATAAGTATAGCACTGAAGTCAGTGAATACACTGATTTACTTTTAGAGAGTTTAATAGAATCTCTCTCTCCTAATTAGAATTTGCAAGAGCAAGTAATTTTTTTCAAAAAAAGAAATTCCTCTTGTTATCCTGTGATTTTTTAAAATCTATGTGTCACTTCTAGTACTATTTTTTCATATCCATTTTCAAAAGCGGATAGACGGTAATTAAAGAAGCTTTTTAAAATAACAAGAGGTACTCTCATTGCGTTTATGGTATTGGAGAATTAAAGATTAAAAATATATCTATCTTTTTGTCTATCATTTTTAAATATCTATCTTTAATTTTCTTCGAAAAAGCATCTACACTTTTAAATGCATCGCATCTAATACCCGTATCACACTAGCGATTGGAGATTGCGTTTGTGTTTGCGTTTTCGCCTGCGATTTTGTCTTTCGACCAATCAGAAAAGAGATGTTGGCGATTGCGATTAGCGATTCCCGTTTAGATATCTATCTATTTTTCATAATCGTAGATGCAAACGCAACCAATCACAAAACGATTTTGTAATCATGTATCAGTTCATGTATCGAAACGCGAAAATAGAAAACAATCTCATGAAAAAATGTGAAATATATAAAATATAAATAGGAATTAATGATGTTTGCAAGTATAAAGATAATAGTAAATTTCTTTTTTATATAGTTTTTCTTCCACATGCGTTGCAGAAAATATCTAATGAAATGTAATCGCTGATCATCGCTAGTGTGATTGAAAAACATCTAAACGCAGCCTCCAATCGTTAGTGTGATACACAGACTTCAACACTCTGAAATTCTGATCTTCAATTAATTTTATGAATTCGTTTCTAGACAACACAGTACGACTATCCCGAACCGCTCGACACATTCCGGAATTCTCCAAACCTCCTGAATTGGAACAAGTGTCAAAAATCGAACGATCGACGCCGAAAGATTGTCAATCATGAACGGAGTATCTAGCAAGTGCGCGAAGCTAAAAATGTACGATGGCGAAGATGACAACTCGATAATGATCAAGAAACCTTTACCATTGAGGGCGGTTTCGTGGAGTGACACCATCGAAGAAACCGATTTAGACGTTCCCGGAACACCTAGAACACCACGGACTTCCACGACAAAAGGTACTGCAGCTCGAAACATCTTAAGATTTTTATATTGTTTATCTTAACTAAGATAACGTAAAACGTTGCTCGTAGTTGCAAAGAATTATATGAGCTGTTTTTTCAAAGGTAGTAGAAGTCTCTAATTAAAAAAATTAATTGCCAGTTTTAATTAAACATAGATCTATGTTTAACTAAAACTGGTATTAACTCATTTTTTTTAAATTAGACTTTCACCATTTTAAAAAAAGCCGGCTCATATTTTGTCTCATTAATCCTTTTCGAAACGTTAATTGCGTCCTCACGTAATTGCTGAATTTTTTTGAGTTTAGCGCATCTTTCTTAAAAATTAGGAAGGTATTTGTGTGTAATAGAAGAGTTATTATAATTATTAATGTAAATATACCAGTTAGTGGACAGAATTCAATTTGTTGAACAAAGGGGTACAGAAATATTTAAATTTAAATATTAAGCTTTTAATAATATGTATGACTCAAAATAAATTTGTTGTTTATAAAAATGTAATAACACATTTATTTAAAATTGTACATATTATCAAAAGCTCCATATTTGAAATTTTTTATCACTTTGTCCAACAATAGGTTCATGTTCACTATATAATATACGATATATAATACTTATTTTATATAAGTATATCGTATCACAGTCATGCATCGTAAGTTAGCTCTTGTTTTTCGAGGCGATTGGTAAGTGTACAAACAATCTCTACGTAATTCTTGCTCGTATCTCGTCATAACGCGTCAGACTTAAATATGAAACTCCATTGATATTCACACACTTACAAATAATTCTACGATACAAACTATTGGCTTGTAATATTTCACTCAAATTTTCAAAAAATAAATTGGCACAAAAATGATGTAAATAATTTTTTTTCCAGATAGTTTGAATTGTACTGATATTCAGAGTTTATTATCTTATAAAATATTTTCATTAAAGAAACGACGTTATTTCGAAGTCCAAAGAGAAACAATTAAATAGTCTCAGATTTAAAACAAAATTGAACAAATTCTTTTTTTTTTTTTAGATGTTTTTTTGTGTTAGCCATTGTACCTATATTTTTATTTCATGAATATAAAAAATTACCTATAATATTTAAATTTTATTATATTTATAACATAAATTATTACATATTTAATATTAATTGTGGAAAATTATTGTATTTAATGTGCGAAAAGATTCTATAAGATATAAAGTCGGAGAGATACGAGGAATGTTTCGTATCTATAGGAGAAAATTCGTAATATCTTTCGATATCAGCAAAATTTTGGTGAACGGTCATCGGAACGACAGTTCCCATGTTAATTATCATGGTGATCTTGAGCTGATAAACAAGTATGGGCACGCTGTGCGTTGGGGTACAGTTATAGTGATCTGCAACGTATAACTGTAACTTACAAAAATGATACGTGGTAGAGTGATATAAAAAAAATTCCACAGAAAAAATAGTGATAAATCGGTAAAATTCCATGACAATGATAAAAGTGATCGCGATTTCGTATGAATCATTTCTTAAATATAGGAATAATTCGATAATTGTGTTACATTTTTTTCTGCAAGTCTGAACGGCTTTAAGCGGAAAGACGATTTTAGATAATTGTGTCTTAATAAATCGATTCAATTTACGAGAAATTATCGTACTGTAGAGATATTTTTAGCTGTGAAAGGAAGAATACGTCTCCATCTTCACGATAATTAAAACACTATTTCTCGCTTACGAACTGACTTTTGAAATAATGAATATTATTTCGGAATTATGAATATTTTATTACATTAATACACAACGAAAGTAATTATTAGTCGTAACATAATTATCGCCACTACTGCGTATCGAATGTGAAAATAAATACGTTTTTTTTTTGCCGCTGTCTTTTACTTTCTGCAAATATTGAATAATTTTCCACTGGAAGTTGGCGGAGTTCGATGATAGAATTGATATTCTTTGGATGTCACATTGAACGAATTTTCCACGCCTCTAATGACCGCTTTGTCGTCGGCATTGGATTCAATTATGTGACACGGTTCATTAGGAAGAGACGGGCTAACTGAGTTTCCAACGTGAACACGTGCTTCTCTCAGCATCGTCGTCGTCGTCGACTTAGAGAAGTCGATCGCTCGCGAGTCCATGAATAATATTGCACGGGAAACCTTGAATCTGTTTTGCCGAGCACTTTCTACTTACGCACCGTTTACGCACACGAAATGGAAACGCGTACTATTTTAATCACGCCACTTTGTTCTCGCACGACGGAACAATTTTCTTAAGCGGTTTGTGGAAGAAGAACGATCGTTGGATGCTTGCGCGAAATTCTTATTGCTCCCCTTCGTAATTCAGTCTTCAATTAATTTGTCGCAGAATTAACTTCGCAGGCTACTGTAAAAATCGATCGAATCGCGGTCATTGAATCGCGGTGACTAATAAAATATCAAGTTACGCAAAAGAGCCAACCGATGCGAGCTGCTCGTGCCGCATCTGTTGAATTTCTGCGAAATTTACTCTATGAAAATTTGACAGTGAAAATTTCAGGTTCAAGAAAAATTTCGCAGTAATTATGGAAAACAAAGAACTCACTGTAGACAGAATTAAAATACACTTTTGTCGAACTTGATTCGTCATCCGCACGTGACAGATTATTTTATACGAATTTAACCGAGAAACAGATTTTGCGTAACATCCACTTGAAATTTCTTCAGAGTATATGTTGTGGAATTTATAAACAAAATGTGACGATAGATCGACGAAAGCGAGAATTCGCCATTTCGTAACTATTTACATGAATGAAATATAATACCTCGTTTAAATAATTATGAAATAAGAGATTTATGTTTTGTTGTTGGTCTGCTGTCAGATTAAGTCCAGAGATTCTCTGCCGATAAAACAAGAGTTTAATGCGGATACGGTGGATGCTCGATCAGTTAAAATATGTGATCGAATTTATTGGCATGTTAATATTTTGTTTTACTGAGAAGAAATCTTATCTGTACATAATATGTGTAACATTCATTCGCTGTGCGACCGTAGTTTATTCCATTTATATGCGAATTGCGCGCGATACGTTTTAAGGGTCGTGACACGTGATAACAAAGATGTGATATATTCGTTTTAGCGTTATCGTCTACTGAAAATCCTTGACGATTGTTGGCGGGAAAATGCGATCAGCGTCACCACGAGTGTTCCGGCTTTCATTCTCTGAACTCTAATTGGTAATGATGCGTTTCGTTTGCATTGCAGGTCACGAAAAATGTATGTTTCATCACGATATGGAGTTGGACCACCGACCACCCACGCGAGAATCGATGATACCGGAAATGTCTCGAAGTTACAAGCTGCTCCTGAGTTCGTTGGGCGAAGATCCGGAACGACAGGGACTTCTGAAAACGCCGGAACGCGCTGCGAAGGCCATGCTTTTCTTCACGAAAGGATACGATCAGAGTCTCGATGGTAAGTTATTGTTGTTTTTAAATATACATTCATATATTATTAGAATATCTCTTGAGAGCTCTCTTCCTTTGATGCTTTTATACGTATTTTATTTGTCTGGTGACAGGACACCGTCAATATTTATCAATAATCAATTTAATTTTATTGAGATAATTTCGAATGTTACTTTACTTATTTGTTAAAAAATTTTTTAAAAACTATAAAAATGAAAAATCTTCAAAGCTAATCGTAGTAGTTCTTGCAAAATACGTTCAGTTAAAAAAAAAAATAAAAATAAAAATTGTCAGTACGTGTTTACTACAGAATTATTTAAACTGCTCTCCTTTCGAATTGGTATTGGAAATGTTGCAAAACTAATATGCTTGCGGATGTATGAGCGTAGAAAAAAAAAGAGAAAATAGTGCAGCCTTGATTTGACGGTCGGCTAACACAAGGTTACACTCGATCCGTGTAGTATGAATTTTACAAGCGGTAATTACATGTGATTGCGATCCATCGTTTATTGCTTAACGGCAACGGTTGCCGATCGCCCGATGATTGCCGTTTCTATAAAAGCTGGCTTCCTATCGTTATGATAAGGAATGTTACAATATGTTGTTTTACGGTCGGCGAGAGATTATCGAAAGAGCATTCATTTCCTGAAAAAGTGCCCTTAACTTTGGCTCATTAGTCAAGAAATGTTATCACAGATTGACTAATTTAAGACTTTCGATATAGATATATTAGGACATTAATAGTATATTACTATTAATAGTAGCCGTAATTTTGTTAAAATTTAAATTTAAAAAAGCTTAAAGTCTATTTTTAAAAGGCCACTATATTTGAGTTTCTGAGAGTTTAGTAATTTGTACACTAAGAAAAAATTTATTAAATTGTAATACATATTTCTTTGAATTATTTATTTACGGTAGATAAATATTTAGATAGATAAAAAAATGATAATTGAATTAAACTAATGATTCTTGTATCTAATAAATATGTTTACATTTATTTTGCTAAGACTATATATTCAAAGACATTAGTAAATCTTTTTCACAGTGTAGAAAACTATAAATGGGATAAAACGAAATTTTTTGTTACTTTGAGGGCTTGTCACGTGCTTAAAGAAAATATGTGACTTTCTAACATAAAAGCTCACAACTTCCTTTACCAAATTATTTTTTTAAATTGTTCCAAAGATTTTTTGCTACTGAATTATTACGGATTAAATAAAAGAAGCTTTTTGACTTTAATTACTTATAACTCCGTTAAAAATCATCGTAATGCAATTAAAAAATAGATTCTTAAAGCTAAAGTTTTGCTTTATCGAATAATATAAGAACTGTCAATTTTTTTTTTAAAACGTATAGACATTTCGTATTAATAATAATACGAAAAATGGACATTTCATATTTAATAATCTAATATGATTTTCTTAAGTAGAAGTAGGTTGACGAGAATATTTGGATGCAAAGATAGGAGACAATAGTTTAATAACAAGACTAGAACTACATTTGACGTGAATATGTTACACTTGTCTGGGGGGAGAGGACATATGCTATTTAAAGAATACTAAGAATGTATAGTACATTTTTAAATGTACGTTGAAATGTAATATATGTGCTGTCATTATATTACATCAAAAAAAATTTCTTTTAAATTGAAATTTTTAGCAATATGTATGTATCCATGTTATCATTAAATATTTACTTTTTCAAGCAATTTTGAGTAATCATTAAAAGAGAAAGAAGGGATAGGAGGGAAGGATGGGGAGGGAGTAGGGGAAGAGAGAGAGAGAGAGAGAGAGAGAGAGAGAGAGAGAGAGAGAGAGAGAGAGAGTGGGTGGCAGTTTCTCATTAATTGAAAATGGAAAAAAATCCAGAACCTATTTCGCAACCTATTAACTTCCGCGGTGGATGTACGACGTGGAGTAATTACGTCGAAGTCAAGGGTACAATTTGCGAGGGTAATAAAGTAGTTAACTGGGAAATCGTCGCGTGATTTAACCAGATTTCTTTTATTACGAATGACATAGCGTAAAGTTATAGAGGTGCGCCTGTATTCAATAAAAGTACCACACTTTCCACTTTTTCTTTCTTTCAACTTGCTCTTTATCGCGAGCAGAATGAAGAAGCGGAGGAGGGAAAAAGAATGGGACGTTGAAGGGGAAAGAGGGTGGAACTTAAGAGCGACTCGTAGAAAAGAGAGCGTAAAGCTCTTGGGATAAATGGGCTTCTCAGGGACGCACGAGGCACAACTTGAAAAGAAAATCCTCCTTCATCTCCTCCTTCTTCTTCATCTGCGTCACGTACATTCAATATAAATGTCACGGTGCTCGAACAATTACGTGGTTTACGGAGATTCGGAGAAAAGTTTGCGTATATCATCAAATTGACACGGAGAACAAATTCTTTTCCTTATTTGACGATTTCGTTCTCGTGATGTGTGTATCTAAATGCGTATCTAAAGGAATTCAGCAGGATATGCTAAATAGCATTTCATCGTGTATATAACGGCTTTTAAAAAATATTTAGGTGCGCATTTACTCTTAATTAACAGTATAATAAAAATTCTTGAACAAGAGAGAGAGAGAGAGAGAGACAGAGATTTAATTTGTATACTTTAATGAATTAAAAACGAGAAATTTTTCTTTTGTATCATATGTTTTCTCATTAATTCGAGTTGCATTTATTTCAATAATCTAAGAGTTATTTCTCCTTTTTTTTAATTTTATTATAACTTTGCGTTTTGTTTTTCTGAATCTCTCGCGATAATTAAGTATCGTTTTAACGATCCTGCCTGAAATTAGAAGCGCTTATAAGTGATAGATGGGAGACTTTAATTCACTTTAGTTTAGTTTGAACAGCGGAGATACCCTCAAGATAAGCTCTTACGGTTAACGTCGATATACGGATGCAGCCCGGTGAATCTAAAACGAGGCACTTTCGCTCGACCACCCTTACTGACTCATTTCTTTGCGAGAACAATTCCACTTGTGGCTTTTATCTCGCCTACTGCTTGCTCGCCCAAATTGCTTTAACAAGTCATTTATATTTATATATGTACACATATATATTTTATAAAAGATATATTATAATATATTTTTTGGTCGAGAAATTCCATGAGGTTTCTGACGTGACAGAATTTTTAAAATGCCATACGCGTTGCAGTCTATAGAAGTTAATCGAATTGGTCTTGTCGATCACGTTTAAGCTATCGGGTCATAAAATCGAACTCCACAGTTCCACAGGGAGAGCATCCCCTCCGCGGGGATACAAGAGGAAAGGAAATTGCTTCACTTTCACGTATAACGAAAATCATTGAGCCATATCCCTTAACTGTGTATTTCCCGAGAAATAAATATTGTATGAGATTCATTCGTACACTTCGCTAGGAATATATGATAAACATATTTCTGTCACGTTTGTGTTGATAACTATTTTATGATTATACGTCGAATTCGAGAAATTTAGTTAGAAATTTTGATATTTATACCCAGTCTTTTCTGTTATCGTTTGAAAAATTCAAGCACGATCAGTCGTGGGCGAATCCGTTTCATTCATCATTGTCGGTCATCGCGAGAGTGTTTCTTGTTAAGGTTGCCGTGGAAACGGTCGGAGAGCACCAGTAGCACCACCATTATCTAGCTACAGACATATACCGACTATCCATGCGTACGTATACACTACCACTAGAATTCATGGTGCAGTAAGTAGGTCAATATCGAATAAATCACAGCCAGGATAATCCGCCCACTAGAATGAAAGGACATCTTTCGTAAAATAATGCTCTCAGCTGTTCTCATATATCACTAAGTTAAAAGGGATTACACGTTTTCAAAGATCTTGATCAAATAGATCACATCATACGTGAAATATAATTTCAATTACTTCATGGAACTCATTAGGAATTCTGCATTTTGATGAACGCTACGGCTAAGTTTGATGAAAAAATTCTGTTACAGATATAATTAATGACGCGATATTCGATGAGGATCACGACGAGATGGTAGTAGTAAAAGATATCGAGATGTTCTCCATGTGCGAACACCATTTGGTACCATTTTACGGCAAGGTGTCGATCGGTTACCTTCCTTGCAAGAAGGTATTAGGCCTCAGCAAACTCGCCAGGTAATTAAATTAAATGTTAATTAAAGATCTTGTCAGGTTTGCCGAGTTTTTCGAGTCGCGAGCGATTAACTTCACATTCAGTGTAGATTATTTACGATTTAAGATCAGAATTAATCTCTTCCACTTGGACACACGACTTAATTGCAATTCTGTCATCACGTGTATACTCTGTTCCTTCATGCGTAGATATTATAATAATTCAACCGTTAAACATTGAAAGTGTTAATCTCTTAAGTTAAAGTGTCAACATCAAATTTAGACTTAGATTGAAAAGCCTTTATTTAATTATTAAAATGTGTCGTTCTTTACCTTCTATGTTTAGAATATATATCTTCCATTTTAATTTATATGTTTGCATAATGCAAAATTTTTTCTTTTTTCGAAGCATAACATTGCGCGATAGATTGCGAGCGTGTAAATTAGAAAGGAAGAAACTTTGTTTCTTTATTCAGCGGAATCCGCGATATTTACGATCGGTAATTTCGTCGAGTTGTACTAGTCAACTAGTCCTGGCCTTGATCAGTGACATATTAAGGCGAAAAGAAAGAATATGACGAGACTGGTCTCCCTAAGACCACACTTTCACGCGCATAACGGCCCGGGGTCTCCGTTTACTCGTTAAACGCCCGCTTAAAAGCGAAGTAAACGGTCAATAATGGAAACAGGACCGATGGCATTCCGATGCGCTGTTCGAATGACAGTTCACTCCAAAACCGTTAACTTTTTTTCCTTAGCTCTTATAAGCATCCTTTTCGATAATGGATTTGGGAAGAAATAATATTTGCATGCACTCAGCCTCGATTTTAAATGGCGAATTTCACGATAGTTTCTAAGAATGATTTTGAGAAGAGAATTGCCTGTCCGCAGAATCGTGGAGATCTTCAGCAGACGACTCCAGCTGCAGGAACGACTCACGAAGCAAATTGCGATAGCGGTCACTAAGGCTGTGCAGCCTGCAGGAGTAGCCGTCGTGATTGAAGGAGTGTACGTATAAAATTCTATAGTATATCACAAAATTTTAATCGTTTCAATTACGAATGACGAAGCGGTCTTCTCGTGTTTGAAAGAAATGAAATCACTTAAAAACAAAACTACGTAGTGAATAATTTACAAAAAAAAAAACAATAAACAGATCGCGGACGGGGAAATAATTAAAATTATTATGAAATAATAAAATTACACACAGTACAACTGCCAAAACGTCGCAATGTACATCGTAATATCAGGTTGCATGGTAGTGTCTTGGGTCAATCACTTACTGATTATAGATTGACTCTCGAGACTGTGCTATCTGTATACAGGATGATTTTTAATTACATGCTGATAGTTCGGACGGTATTGCGATGTCGAGTCAGTTCGCCAGTTAAGACCGCTTTCCTTTCAATCAGCAACTCGCGGAATAGTTTTCGCAGGTGGAACGATCGCGAAGGAACACGACCTTGTATCGCCGCGCGAACGTTGTGTATAATTAAAGCATTCACGTAACGATCCGGTTGTTTGTTACATGGCGTATGCATTAGCACGACCAATAAATCTCGAGCGGGGGTGCACGCGAGTGTCACCTCAACGATCGCAGCCGGGGTTATTAATCGTCTCGTATGATTAATATGGAAAACACGAGCACACCCAACGCAATCGTGAATAATTCAGGAAGATCACGCCACGTATTTCCTCAATTTACAGTTGCGTTTTCCGAAGTATTATAGCGATAATCGAAGTATATCTTTTAACATACAGACTTCACGCAAATAGCTCGTAATGCTATTGCCAAGATTTACCTTCGCTCCCGGTATATCAGGACTAGGTATTTTTGCCATCTTGAGTAATGCTATTATCGGTATTATTTTCGCGTGCACCGGAACTATTTTTACCAACCACCGCGTGCGAATAATTCATAATACTGTCTTGCTGCCATCGAACCGCCCGATTTATCCCGCGAGAGTGATAAACTGATAATTAATAACTCCTAACGCGGTGCTATTCTCGCGAGGACCCCGACGCTATTCTCGTCGTTCTGAGCAAATAATTTATAGACGCGACCGACGCGACTTTTCCACTCGACTTATCGCACCGCGAGAATAAACCAATTTATTCGTATATGAAAATGATAAACTGATAAACACAAATCGGAGCTATTATGAATCACTACACGAGCGATACGCGGTCGTCGTGTTGCGACATCAGGGCAAACGCGTGTTTCCCCAAGCCGGAGAACCCGAGTCGCCATACGATACGCATTAGATAATCAAATCCTCCCGCTCGTGATAAGATCTCTCGACGCGACAAAGCAACAAGTCGAATCTGAAGATATCTGTAATATAAGCTCTAAAGGTATGATGCTTTTTTTTATTTTTTATTTTTTTTTTTTTTGATCTCCTTATCGCGATTTTATTAATTATATACACGACACGCACACACCCACTGTGGGAGAAGGAAAAAAATCTTTTACATATGTTGCAGGCATATGTGCATGGTGATGCGGGGTGTGCAGAAGATCAACAGCAAGACAGTGACCTCGACGATGCTGGGCGTGTTCCGGGACGACCCGAAGACCCGCGAGGAGTTTCTGAACCTGGTGCACAACAAGTAAACGGTCGAGTCGCGTCGCGGTGTCATTATCGTCGGCCACCGTGGGACCATTAGATTTCAACACCCCGACTGCTCTCCGACATCCGACCGCTACCTCGTTGCGAAGCCCTCGTCTCGGGATCGTTGTCGTCGCCGCCACCGCAAAAGTTATCCCACCTGCTTACATTCCATTTGTTCCTTGAAAAACAAAATCACACGCATGTGTTGTATGCCGACCTCGACGACGGTTCACATGCTTCCGTATCGTAAATGCGATAGAGAAAGTTCAAGGGCGAACGCTTTCTGGGACCAAGATAGCGCGATAGCGGATGGTGGAGACGATGCTCGACGCGCGCGTCGATGCTCCCGCGCTGATAAGGAATGCGCTCAAACTGCTGATCGAGTGACACTGACAATAGCGACTACTACTGACGCGCCGTGGTCATTCACGAAGACGTTCCGCACGTCTTTCGGAATGACTACGACGCGGATGGCTCGCGAGCGATTTATCGCGTCGCGATGGAGACGGCGAGCGACGTGCATTTCGGCGCAAAGGGACGGCGAAAAAAAAAAATAGCGGTTTAATTCGAAGACGAATTATTCAATGCGATAACACGTCTGGGAACAGGAAATTGCTGCTGGATCAGTGACAATCCTGTCGTAGAGTTCACGTTCGCTGCACCTTTGACCGAGCGAGTTCGTCGCTTACGAACGAGCTTTTTAGGAAATTTTTCAACGAAAGCTCCCCCGTCGATCGCAAGCTTATACGATAGTCGACGCGCTTCTCGTGACAATAAATTGTACGTCCCGTAGATTAGTGAATTCTTTTGAAGAGACCGCGCTCGAATCTTCGTCTATTTGCGTCGATTGTGTGTGCTTTCGGGATTCAGTTTTCTGTCATGCGTTTCGCGATATTCGGCATTTCTCGCAGCTGCGAAACTCGACAGCCACGAGTTTCGCAATGCGGCCGATCTACGTCGCGTGCGTGATCGCCTACTTTTGTTCGCCATTTAACATTCGTTAATAAGCGCATTTTATGATTATAACAGATATATATTTTTATATTTGAAATATCGCTAAAAATTAGAATTCCTTTTCCGCAGCTTTTTATTTCTATAAAATTAAATTGATTTATGCCTCAAGTTGAAAGTCATTTGAAGTTAATTGAAAATGAATACTTTTTTTTTGGAACTCTGAAACATAATTGATCAAAAAAAGAACTTCTTAATTAATTAAAATTCCAAAAACATTGTAATAGTTTCATTTAGAAGAACTTGTTTTAAATGCGCTTACTATCGAATGCTACATATCATTCTTCTCCAATGAGTGATCTTAGTTTGATTTAATTTTAAAAGAATTTGCGAAAAAAAAATGTCACGAAATGCGCACTGCTTCAGCCATGCATTACGCATCGTGACAAACTTTGAAAGATATTATTTTCAAAGTATACACACCGCATCTGCCTATCCATTCGTCGAGATGTTTTCCACGGAAAATTAAATTCACCACCTTCGGAAATTTATTCTCGACTATCATGAAGTGCATATCATTAAACTAAAGTTAATTTACTTTACGTATTTTATATTAATTAAAATGAAGATATTTCGCGAATTGTTTCTCGTATAAACATTGTTAAATCCACGAGATTACAAAGGATTTTTATTTTATCTGGGAGTGTGCAAATTTATATAGAGGATGTTATATTTGTTGCACTTTATTTTTCGCGTGCTCGCGGCTAGTCCACGAGTACCGCACCTCACATCGAGATTTTTACTAATATTAATGATGCAATAGGATAACGCAGTTCTTATTATGTACATATCGATTTTTGTTAAAGTATGTGATTCAAAACTTCCTGCCTCAACAGACTGAAGTGACAGAGCTTCAGTATATTCTCCGATTATACTTTCTAACTGCGAAAGGCTGGAGAGAGATGTTCAAGTTATACTTACGAAAGTAAACGTTCAATATTTGTAATATTTTTCTGATAATATTATATAAAAAGTTATATTTATATTTTCGACGACAGAGCGTTGCTTGTTTTTATTTTTCCCTATTTCCTCTTAGATATAAAAATAATAGAAATGTGTGTGTTCAATATTTCAGAAACATATTACATAATTTGAGATGTTTCCCGGTGTCTCTTTTTTCTAGTAAAAATTTAATGTGTAATATGTGCGTTATTAAATTTTTATTTAATTTCAGCATTTTTCGAAATTGAATAATAATCGGTCAAGTATTTGTTAATGGCCTAATCGAGACACTTTGACCTACACAGTACAAGCACCAAACTCATTAGCACGTGCTGTACTGTTGCGTGATCTAAATTATTTGTCGCGAAATAACGTCCCCAACCCAAATTCCATATTAGTCTCTTGTAGACCTCGTATCTATTCCCGATAAACAACTCACCCATTTTCAATGAATTATGCATTTCTCGCATGCGTTAATTACAGTGGCATCTCGGGAGGATAATAATTAATTGGCATCTCGGGAGGATAGAATTCAGAGATTAATGCGAGATGGATTAATTCCGTGCCTTGCATTCTATTTTCAAAGATTGTTTCAGCTTTTACTTTGAGTTATATTTATTTATTTGTGATTTCGAAATCTCAGCGAAATATTGTACATAACATATGTCAGGATTAAGAAATCTTGTTACACATTTCTATGCCTTTCAATTTAAGAAAATTTCAGTTCCCGTGAATGCTGCTCAAATCAACATTCTGAATAGGAAATGCAGTTTTCAGTCAAATTAAATTTAAGAAAAGTTTTTTCCTTCAATTGGATCTAAAAAAAACAATGAAAATGGATCGTCAATACTACTAAAATAAACATGGGTGGATTCAAATGGATTAAAATTTTAATTCATTTTAATATAATATATTCTCGTTTATTGAATCTCTAAAATCATTGCCTACGATTCAACGAATATCAACTTTTATGAAAAAAAATGCGAAAAACAAACTCTTTGAAAGGTAATAATTTTTAAATAGTGAATGCAATAGAATTAATTATTAAAATTAAATAAAATAATAAATAGGTAGAGATATAATCATAAAATTAAAAATTTTTATAATCTGATACCAATAAACGAAAATAATTTAATATATTCATTTTTTAAAGATATATTTTGTAAATTATTAAAGAGAAAATTTTTCTTTGCGTTATTTATTTTCGAAAGACGTAACAAAATATAGGTTTTTAATTGTATCCTTCCCTCTTTCGCTCCAGAGACGTTGAGATAGTTTTATGACATTCTAGTTGAGTGTCGGGTTCAACTTTTAAAGTGTTCTCGCTCAAAGTTGCTAAAGCCCTACCGGCTTCCTGGAGATTTTGACGCACATATTCGATTATTTCATCTACTTCCCTGTTCCTATTTGCGAATAATCCAAATAAATAAAGAGTTTACATCTTTATTTTTTTTTTAAGCAAAATGGCAATGATTATTAAAATAGAAATGTAATGGATCAGTTCACCCGACTAATTCCGGCGTTTGCGAAATGCAAAAGTGATAAGGCCTATTTGCAGAAAAAGGTTGCTTATTCTGAGAATTCTCTTCCAGCTGCACGAATTCTTCTAAAGATTTTTCTACAGGGTAAGATAATAACGTCGATGAGATTGAAGATGAAAGCAAAGACAGATTTGGCACTTTCTGGACAGATTCTGATGATGAATCTTTGGCCGGAATCTCTTCAATGACTGGTTCTTCGTCCGCGCCACCCATAAGACGATTAGGAAAATTAATCTTACTGGTAATTGTAGGCATCGTTCTTTCAGAATTAAGTATTTTATTCGATAATTTCGGTGTTTAGTGATTGTGAAACCTAAAGAAAAAAAAAACCAATAGATAAAAATATTATAACTGAAAGGAGAAATATATCTTTTGATTTACCGTTCTTAGATACATTTGGAGTTTGGACGTGTGTACTGCATGCCAATTTTGTTAACTGAAGATTAATCTCTTCGTATTTTTTTTGATATATTTGAAATTTTCAACATATTTATCAAATTATGTATGAACGCACGAATATAATAATTGACACGGAAATAATATATAATTATTGTTTGTATTATAAATTATTTGAAACGTGAATTATATATATATATACAGGGTGTTTCCAAAATACCGCCCAGTATTTATATAGCGTTATGCAGGATAGACTTCTGTAAGAAATAAACTAAGATCCTCCCGTCGGGCTGTGTGACTTCATGGCAAGACAGTGGCTTGACGAAGGCCTACTACTACGAGGCCTCGGTTCGAGTCCCGGCACCACGTTGGAGGGTCCGACATTTTTCTCGGCTTAGACTTCTCTTACACTTGTCAATTTAAATAAAACTAGTTTAAATTTTGCAGATCATTACATAACACAATTCCCCGAAGTATGAGTCACGATCCACCCATGGATCGCGAAGCAATTTTTGATGGCTCGCGAAAAATTTTAAAATAATAAATTACATTTGATTTTTTCGTATAGCTGTACATATGTACATACACACGTGGTCAATGATGCTATCATACACGAAGTTGCATATGTATCGAAAAAAGCATGAATATGGTGGAAGAAGATAGGTGAGACAATTTGAGGGATGCACAGTAGGACCAAATTTAGGACCCAAATTTAATGAGCATGAATATGAAGACATTTGTGAAGGTATATACATATATACAAACTTGTGCATGTAAGCACTTGTGTAAAGTTGAATTATACGATAATAATTAATGATAGTAGGAATGTAGGAATCAAAACCAAGTTTCGAAATATGCTGTCTCTCCTTGCACCCCTCAAAATTACTCACGTCGACATCGACATCAAGCTGTCGATAGACATAGGAAATGACTTTACACATATCTTACTATGTATCCGAGAGAGAGAGAGAGAGAGAGGGGGGGAGGGAGGGAGGGAGGGAGGGAGAGAGCGAGAGAGAGAGAGAGAGAGAGAGAGAGAAAAGTCGCAGAAATTCAATACTTTTTGAATGATTTACACAAATTTGGAAAACTGTGGATTAATTAAGGATATATACCTGAATATGAGGTAAATTATTGTACATACATACTAACTCATTTCGGGAACAACAAAACTGAAACATACATATAATTAGAAAGTTAGAAATCTGAAAAGTAATTAAAAGTTTGGACATATTGTATAAAACACATATTATTGGGAGTACAAATTAGTTCAGTCAGTTTTCCAAAAGATGATCGCCTCCAAAGACGAGTCATTTTTTTCGAGATGGAATTCGAAAATTGCCTGAGAGATGGGAAAAAGTAGTAGCCAGCGATGGACAATACTTTAATTAATCTGTTCATTCATTTTGTTTTGAAATAAATGCATTTTTGAACACAAGAAACGGACCAAACTAATTTGTACACCTAACTAAATTAACCAATACTTATAATATTAAAAAGAAATAAAAAAAATATGATTATATAGTATCATCTTATCTATTCATGTATATATATATATTGTATATATACACATGTCAAACGTATAAATGCTAAATTATAAAAGTTTCTAAAGAAATTATAATATCAAACTTGCAGTGATTTTACTTTTATATATTTTTATATTTTTTGATTAATTGTGATGGAATTCTCTTATAAAATAGACAAAGATCTAATGGTTCTAAAGAGAAGTAAAACTATATCCCCCGAGTCAAATCTTAGAAGTAAATTTTTATAGTTTAATTTATTATATACACATCATTGTAAATTAGGTAAATATTTTTTGTTGAAAATGACGAATCTATATATATATATATGTGTGTGTGTGTGTGTGTATAGATAGATATTGGACAAATATAAAAAAAAAAAACTATATTCGACATTTTCAATAAATGAATAAAATTTTTAAATGCATATGTGCGTATGTGTTAAGAGCAGCTTTCAAAATGCTTTTTGTCCAATACTTATAATTTTTAGAAAACTACGCGCTTTACAAAAAATAACAATTTGTTAAACAGTATAAGATGTGATATGTTCAACAAAATTGCTAAACAGTTGTTAAAAATACATTTTGTTTGTCCCCTTAGTTAAAGGACATTATAATGCACTTCGAACGTTATGATTTTTTCAGCATATAAATTGATGATGTAAAAATGCTTTCAGAACATCGTAGAGTAGTTAAAGCTTAAAATATGAGTATCTCAACACTGAGTACTATGCCATCTCAAAAGATAAAATAAAATTTCGAAAAAATGCATTTTGGAAGTCTAGAAAAAATCATATAATGAAATTCTCCTTTAATAGAAAAAATTTAGTCGTTTAATCTAAGAGAATTTAATGTTTTTCCTGTCCGCTTAAAATCACATTATGTATTATCTATTTTTCTTATTCGTATATTTCACGTTTTTTTATTTGTATAAAAATATAAATCACAAATAATGTATCAATTTATCTTTTGAGATATATGTATTTCTTGCTTCACAAGTGACTAAAATTCAAGTACAATATGTATATTACAATTATATGTCATGTATGTTCATTTATATATATATATATATATGTATATTTGTCACTTTATAAAGTTTTGTTCTCATATTTATAATAATGGCGCGCAGTTTTCATTTTGAAGAGTAAAGTTTTAAATATTATCTAAATTTTATTAAAAACAATATAAACAGGACAGTAAAAAGACAAATATTACGTTAGTCTTTATTACAAAAAATAATTTAATATTTTTAATAATAAAGATTATTGTAATCTTATGAACTTAATTAATATTTATGTACATAATTTTAGGTAGTCTTCTTCGGTGGTGGTCTATAAACTCCCACTACAACAGCGTGATCTCTTTCATATGGTTCGAGTGTTATTTGCTCTTGTGGTTTCAAATTGTCGGCAGATAATTTTTTCACTTCTGCTGCAAATACCGCTTCAGGTAGAGCGAGCGAGTCTATGCAACTTGCCTAAAATAAAGTACAAAGTATAAATACAATATACAATATACAATCAATAGGATGCCAAGTGGCTCCACGTGAAAGCAATGGACTCGTAACCAGCACATTTAACACAGTGGTCAAGCAACTCAAAAATTGAAAAAATAAATTTTTTTTCTTTCTCTTACAATTTCGATATTCGCTCCGAAAGAAAAAAATGTTTTTTTTTTTCAAATGAATTTCACCCCCTTAAGAGTATTACAGATGAACCACTCTACACAAAGTCTAAGAACTTTTTAAGTTGCCTATAGCCTCCCTTTTAAATTTAAATATATTCCTTAATCATAATTTAATCGCTAATCCCTTACTTTAATAGAAATGACAAAATGTCCGCCGTTCTTTAGGAAATTTTGCGCATTTAGTGAAACAATTCTCGCCTGGTCCGGTTGCGCAACATCCGAAAATATGGTATCTACCATCCCTACAAGCATTCTGTACTTGTGAGGGTGTCTCGCATCTTCGACTATAGGTATGATGTTGCTCCTTCTTTTAGCAACATCAATTAAATCTCTCCCCGTTCGATGGGAGAATTCCACTGCAAACACAGTTCCTTCCTACACATAAAAATATTGAGATATTCATTCATAATTCTATATCATTTAGATAAGTTCGTATATCAAAATAAACTTTGTATGCACGTTTTTTTTAAAGTAAAAATAAAATCTTACTCATTCCAAAGAAACGTGTATGTCATTGTTTTAGCATCACTTCGACACCAAGTTTGCAGTTATAAGCTAACTTGGCTCTAATGTGTGCACAAATGTGTACGTTATTCTTAAGTAGATTTCTAATAAATAGTATTTACCGGGCCAACTATGTCGGCGACATGAGACACAGTGGTACCTGATGCTGCGCCTAGATATAATACTTTGCTTCCTGGTGACATGTAAATTTTATCAACACCTCCGAGAATAGCAGCAGATAACTTAGATCGAAATGGATTCCATACTCTATATTCTATCTTCTCACCCTTTTCACCGGGTTTGTCAGACTGAAATACAAACACAATTTTGTTATATTTTAAATTTTGTACATTAAGTAAATATTAGCAATTAAGAATTAGCGTTAGAGCTCTTAGACCTTTCTATTATTTGTAATTGTTTTATCTAATTGAACCTAGTACATTAATCCTTAACAGCTTTATTAATTTACATAGAAGTTAAAAGTAAAATTATTATAAAGTTCAAGCTTACCTCGATGCTAATTCTTTTTTCTCCATATACCGCTACCCCTGGTACTAAGCTCAAGGTTACTAATGCATCTTCCTTTCCTCGGGCTATGAATACTCCCTCATGGCGATGTGGTTCTATTATCACATTCTTTCCTCCTTTAAAACCACCTCCACCACCACCACTTGCTCTTCCTCCTCGGAATCCACCACCTCGTCCTCCACGTCCACCACCGCCTCTTCCACCCCTAAAACCTCCACGACTTTCGCCAAAGCTTGATCTGCCTCCTCCACGGCCACCACCGCGACCACCTCCACGGCCTGCTCCTCTACCTGGTGAAAATGCTGTAATTTAAAAAAAAATATTAATAACAAAAAAGAAATATACTATAGTTTACGTAATTCTTAATGAACATATATTTTTATATACTGTATATATATACTTAAACTTATACATATATATATGTATATATATTAGTTTTAATTTATTGGATTAAAATTAATATAAAAATATGAGTTTATTACATCAAATTTCAGAAAATATAATTTTATAATTTTATATGTCGCGTTTATTTTAATGTGTTTATTTTAACTCTTACAATATCATAATTTGCTTTGTCAGGTGCTTTATCTCTACCATCGTGAGTCATTAGAATTTGTTAGAATGTTTTCACCTATTAAACGGTTCAAAAAAATCTCTAAAAATTTACAAATGTATATTCAATTTTCTAAAATAAATGTGTAATCTTCATTTTGGAAAATAACAAAATGCAGTATAAGTTAATTTAAGATAATTATTAAGACTCATAGGTTAAGGAAAAGTGACGTTTGATTAAAAAAAAATGTAAATTTTATAATAATTAAATATATAAAAATGATTTTGGAGTTTTTTAATTTAAACATTAAGTTCAAAAAAAATAAGAGAACTTTTAATTGTACAAAAATGATTTTTCAACAAAGGACAAATAGGAAAAATTGAGTTAAAATATGTATTTTTTTCGTAAAAATAATGTATCTTTTAACGAAAAAAGATAAATGTATGTATTGATTAATGAAGAAATGTAAATACAAGGAAATGTTTTATATTTTAAATTCTAGACATTTGTAAGTACATTTATAAGTAGGTGATCATAAATAGACTTTTCGCACATAAGGCAACAGGTTTTTCTGTCAATATTGTACATATAATAATAATCCTTTTCTTTTGTAAGCTTATCTCATAACGATTTTTTATACAATTTTTACTTTTCATAAAAAGCATCTTTTTACTATCACGGGTCACTAGCGTTTCACACAAAATTAAACTATATGTAATTCACAGGTAGATTGACGTCACATTGACAACCGCGCCCCACTACACACAGATCCTTCCCAACACCATTTTTTTTCTAGGAAAGAATAATAGACGCCGAATTCATCGAACTTGCACGAACAGGAATCGCTCCCATAATGATACAATAAGAGTTAATATACGAGTCTCAAAATTCGAGGACAATATTATTTCAGTGTGAAAATTATGGAAAAGTGTAAATCATTTTTCTTTCCGTAAAGTACTCTTTTTAAATATAAATATTTAGTGTTGGATGTTTGAAACGTTGAAAAGTCATCTATCTGGTACTTAACAAAACATTACCACTGTACATTATCACATGGACAGATGACTTTTTAAACTACATTTGTGATTAGTTAAACATTAAACTTGATCTATACTTATCTATACTTAAAAAAAAAACTTTATAGAAAGGGAAAAATGGCTTATACTTTTATTATATATATATACTTAATTTTTTACGAAGTTCCATACTGAAATAGTATGCATATTTTAACTCGAATTTAAAGACACCCTGTATATTTTACATGTGTGTAGCTAGTGTTCATTTGCAAACATTAATTTTGGTATTATGGTATACAAAATTAGAAACGGTTCTAGTAAAAATTCTAGTGCCAATTATAGATCGTCCACAATTTTTTTTCCTTTCATCCGAATGTATACAATAAAAGACATGATAATATATATATTTGGATTGCTAGGTTAACTTTGCGAATTAGTGCCACGCGGTCGGCGAAATATTTGTCGCGTATAATGTCATAAATGTATATTTACAGTCGTTGTGAACACCGCTAAAAGGAATTGGAATAACCGAAAATTAAGCCGATATTAAGACATTCAAAGTGTTCAAACACTCGCTAAATCTCGAAATGCGTCTTCTCTTTTGCGAGGTTAGTTTCATCGACAAGAAAAAACCGGCATGCAGACCTCGCTACTCAAGGATCGTGAAATAATCAAAACATGAAGGTGTCCACGTTACCTGGTTTACCCATAACAGATATGTGCAAACGCGTGTTCGGCTGCTCCTCAACGACCTCAACACGAAATTGCTTCAGAGTTCAGACGTTATCTCTTGTCTGAGAGCACGTGTGTTCAGATATACACGTTGCACAAGAAAAGATTGAAAGAAACGCACAACGCACGGGAATCGGGAATTCCGATAGAATTCGGAGTAATAAAAAAACTGGTCACGTGACTAGAGCTTCAGTGCCGCCATCCAATCAGGATGAGTTCTCGTAACCACCAGCTATTATAGTTTTAAATCTAGTGACTTTAAGACAGAAATGTCTCTGAAATAAATCGCTAGAGATTCCTATAAGTCTCTTGTGTCAACCCTCAATTTGTGACACATGTGGATCTTTTCCCGAATATGGTTTTTGATTTTTCTTGTAAGTTAAAAAACCTGGACATCAATGAACAAAAATACGTTTTTTAAAAATTTATTATATTAATCGATGGAAACTTAGTCAATGTTATACATGTGCATGTAACAGTGTAAATGACAATATGAAGTAAGTAAGAGAGTTACATCTAATGAAATGTTTACTTGGCTGTATAAATATTTAAGAACTTACATTTCTATTACAGAATAAGCGTTGACGGGTTGATTGTATATTTTCCGTATGATTATATTTATCCAGAACAGTATGCGTACATGCTGGAGCTCAAGCGTGGCCTGGATGCCAAGGTATTGTTTATTCTTGTACTTTACTGATACTGTGAGTTTGAATATTAAAATTATATAACTAAATTGCGTGCTTCAGGGACATTGTTTGTTGGAAATGCCTTCAGGCACTGGCAAAACGATAACTTTATTGTCACTCATTATGGCCTATATGCTGGAGCATCCATTAGATGTAACAAAATTGATTTATTGTTCCCGGACAGTACCAGAGATAGAAAAAGTTATAGAGGAGTTGAAGAAGCTTATGGATTATTATGAGGAAGAAACCAAAAGCAAGCCAAAAATTGTCGGTCTAGTTCTTAGCTCGCGTAAGAATATGTGTATTCATCCTGAGGTAATTAAAACATACTTTTCTCACACATAAAATTGATTATTATAGGTGTATATTAAATTGAATAAATAGACCTGTTCTGTTTAGTTGAACTGGTTTATCTTTCTTCCTTTTCTCTCCATGTTGGATAGAAAATAAAGTAAAGATAAACCATTTAAGAACTATAGCTAAAAAGAACAGACTTAATTGCGTTTTTGTATATAGGTCAGTAGAGAACGCGAAGGTAAAATTGTAGATGGCCGTTGTCATTCTCTTACTGCATCATATGTACGAGAGAGACATAATTGTGATGAATCTACGCCAATTTGTAATTTTTATGAAGGATTTGATATGGAAGGCAGGGAACAAATAATGCCTCCTGGTATTTACTCCATTGATGATTTAAAAGAATACGGGAGGGATCGTAATTGGTGTCCGTACTTCCTTGCAAGATTTACAGTAAGAAACTTCGAAGAAAGAGATCTTTTCATTCGCGCTTATAAACGATTTAAATTATTAGTAGATATGAAATTGATAATCAATGTTTAACACTTTCAGATCTTGCATGCGCAGATTGTAGTGTACAGTTATCATTATTTATTAGATCCAAAGATTGCTGAGACTGTATCCAAAGAGTTAAGCAGGAGTTCAGTAGTTATCTTTGATGAGGCTCATAATATTGGTATAAAAATTAACATAACGGTTGTATATTGACGTTCAAATAATTTACAATGCAAAATGAATATTAGTTTATGAATTTTAGATAATGTCTGCATCGATTCTATGAGTGTAAAGATAAACAGAAAGTTAATGGAGAAAAGTACAGCTAACATACAACTCTTAGAGAAAACTGTAGCCGAGTAAGTGTTTCAAAATATATTATATTATATTTATATCTTTTTCTCAATTAGCACTACAGTCTAAATTAAGCCTTAACTTCCTAGAAAAAAATTCTGTTTAGCATTTCTTGCATATAGTGTTTTAGGATTTATATTACAGAGATTATTGTATTTTGATACAGAATGAGAGAAGAGGATGTAAATAAACTGAAGGAAGAGTACGAAAGATTGGTCGAAGGACTGAAGGATGCTCAATTCCAGAGAGAAACTGATGTCATTTTAGCCAATCCTATTTTACCAAATGAAATACTTGAAGGTTGAAAAAAAATAGAATTTAAAAAATATTATACATATCTCACTCGTGTAAAATGTTCAAACAATCTTCATTACATTTTATTTTACAGAAGTCGTTCCGGGTAACATAAGAAATGCCGAGCATTTTGTTAGTTTCTTGAAACGGTTCGTCGAATACTTAAAAACTCGCTTACGCGTTCAACACGTCGTGCAAGAATCGCCCGCAGCATTTCTTAAGGACATCCAAGCGAAGGTCGCTATTGAACGAAAACCGTTGCGATTTTGCGCGCAAAGATTAGCGTCCCTCTTACGCACTATGGAGATAACAGATCTAACAGATTTCTCTCCGATAATCCTAGTGACGCATCTTGCGACATTAGTTTCTACCTACACGCACGGCTTCACAATTATAGTGGAACCATTCGATGATAAAACGCCAACAGTATTGAATCCAATTTTACATTTTAGTTGTCTAGATTCTTCCATTGCTATCAAACCCATATTTGATAGATTCCAGTCTGTAATAATCACTTCCGGGACGTTGTCCCCATTGGATATGTATCCCAAAGTTTTAAACTTTCATCCGGTTATAATGTCGTCGTTTACAATGACATTGGCTAGACCGTGTCTTTTACCCATGGTAAGTTAAAAAAAATATTAAAGATGAATGATTCAATGTTTTATCAATATTTTATGTCTTCTTTTTTTATATCTTCTATATAATTTTCTTCTCTCAAAATCAGATCGTTGCTAAAGGTAATGATCAAGTTGCCATTTCGTCGAAATACGAAACACGAGAAGATGTGGCTGTTATAAGAAATTATGGTCAATTGTTAGTCGAATTTGCTGCGACAGTGCCCGACGGCTTAGTTTGTTTTTTTACGTCATATTTATATATGGAATCCGTAGTGGCCGCATGGTACGTACATATATGTTTATTAATGAAATATATTACGCTGAATTTGATAATAATAATTTATAAATGCTACAGGTATGATCAAGGAGTTGTGGATCAACTTCAGAGGCATAAATTATTATTTATCGAAACTCAGGATTCGGCGGAAACTAGTCTAGCTCTGATCAATTACATAAAGGCTTGCGAGAATGGTAGAGGAGCTGTTCTACTCTCAGTGGCTCGTGGAAAGGTGTCCGAAGGCGTCGATTTTGATCATCATTTAGGCAGAGCTGTGCTGATGTTCGGTATACCTTACGTGTACACGCAGTCACGTATCTTGAAGGCGCGTTTGGAGTATCTCCGAGATCAATTTCAAGTAAACCCATAAAACCATCATAAAAAGCTTCTGTTTACTTGAACAAGTGATATGTGTCTCTGTTATGTTTTTTCAGATTCGAGAAAACGATTTTTTAACTTTTGACGCTATGAGACACGCAGCACAATGCGTAGGACGTGCGATCAGAGGGAAAACAGATTATGGTATCATGGTGTTTGCAGATAAGGTATATTTCTTTGGAGAACAATCTGTCGTATTTACTAAAATATTATTGCATTTTATAATATAATGACTTTTTTATATTTACATCATTGTAGAGATTTTCAAGAATAGATAAACGAAGCAAATTACCGAAATGGATACAGGAACATTTGAATGATAGTTTATGCAACTTATCAACTGAAGAAGCTATACAGGTAATATTAATTTTTCATTTGGTAGCAGGTACTGTGATTAGTGATTAAAATTTAACAGTTTGTCTAGTAATAATATTTATTTACAATTTTCAGATCAGTAAAAGATGGTTACGACAAATGGCACAGCCATTCACGCGTGAGAACCAACTTGGATTGTCATTATTGACGAGAGAACAACTTGAGAAAGAAGAGGCTGCCAAGATCGAACAAAAGGCTCAGCAAAATTGATAGTACATTGGCCGAGCAGTCCGTTTTACTTAGGCAAAGTGATCTGTGTCATTTACAGAAAATATATTTCATATATGCAGCTTTTTGTACAAAGACCTATTTATAATTTGTACTTTCAATTGTAACTGTATTAAGGAATGTAAAATATAAGATATACCTTTTCCAATAACGGTAAGAGTATTTATCTTGTTGACTTAAGCTTACGTTATCAGGTTTCACAATCTCAGCAAGGTTCATTAAGAACATACGATGCAATTAAAAAAATTTTAATAACAAAGTATTATAGAGCGGACTTTAACAGCGTAGAAAATACAATCATATCTATAAATATAATTTATTCGATATATCACCACCTCACAAGAACTTGATCACCGTCCTGTATTGAATAGTAACTAAGTTCTTGCAACGGTTTGTCCAACGAGATTTCATCATTCGATAGCTGAAATGTTATAATACAATATTATTTATATCGTCGATTAATAATTATTTTTTACATGACTAAACTTAAACTTACATTCCGTGGAATAAACGAAAGAGCTGGAATCTTTCCACCGGTTTTGAAAAGTCTTTGAGCAAGTCCAATCATTTTTTGAACTTCCATATCTTTAAGTATCTTCCTCTTAATTCCTCTAGGCTGATGCGGATCGTCTGGGCATACAAACTCCACCGTTATCACATTAGAAATCATTTCTACTTTTGGCTTAGCCGAAGGAATATCCGCAATTCCATATTCTGAAAGTATAAATAAACTTTTATTTTACAAGAAACTGGAATTAAGTTTTGTTTAAACTATTCTTTGTTAGTGTAAAAAATGTAAAGTTTGTACGTACTATCGACTAAAATAGGATATCGTGGATGTTCATTTATAAATAATGTTCTTTTCTTCGAATTACTTTCAGTTTCTAGCCACACTGGTAAATATAATTTTAAGTAATCATACTCAGCACCTCTCCTTTCATCGTGAAGTACCTCTGTACCATTTAAGATCGTTAATTTCGCTATTCTTGCAATTATCAATTGTCGAGCAGTCTCTACAGTTTCGTTTTCCAAAATGGGATTTCCTCTGAATTTTAAGTCTTCTAGATTTGATAGTTTATCCAATTCACTAATGGATTGCCACTAAAATTGTTAGAAATTTTAATTGCATAAATGCACAATGTACTTTTTCGATTGATACTATCTACGAAAATTTACCTTTGATATGTGATTTTCTGAAATATGTAGTTGACGTAGCATAGGAAATGAAGCAGTCTTGTCTGTCGTTGTTGAAGATAAAAATCTAATTCTATCTATTTTGTTTAAATTCAAATTAAGATATTCTAAGCTGTAAAAAAAAGTTTCTCTTAGTTATATAAAACATAAATTTTATGCTTTTTAAAAAATAAAGAAATTAAATAATAAAAAAAAGGACAGCTAGATATTTTGTAAGGCAACTTACCACGGAAGGGAACCTAGTTTAAGTATCTCATCCCAACTTGATATTAGATTTCCTTCTAGTATTAATATAACTATTTTCATTAAATTAATATTTGCTGTTATGTCGTCTACAGTTGTAATAATATTAAAAGAAACTGAAAGTTCTTCAATCGATGGAAACATGGATGTACATTGCCAAATATCGAACCAATTGTAATTCATTCTAGCTATAGTTAAATGCTTAACTGTTGGAAATGAATCTTTTAACGCCGACACATCTTCTACAGGAAGATGATTTTCACTACAAAAAAAATAAAATAAATTCTCTTATATATAAAAAAATATATGTTCAAGGTAAAGAAATTTTATATTATTTACCTGACATTAAGACGTATAAGAAAACGAAGCTGAGAACATATATCTACTACAATTTTCCACGAATTTATCAAATTTCTAGATAAATCCAGTTCCTCCAAATTAGGACACAATTCCTCCAATTCCTGTAGCTCTCCTACATCGGATACACACTGTTCTCTCAGCCATACTATTTTTAGTTGGTCAAACTTGCTCTGTTTTTTGTTAACCTTAGAGAAGCCAACAAGCTCTAAAAACGGCGCGTTCATCTCTTTTCTTAAACTTGATACCTCATCTCTGTCTATGCCTGCTAATTCATCATCAATTAGTCCATAGCGCATTTTGATAGCTTGTGGGCAAGATATTCCGAACTTGGCTTTGCCTGGTCGTATGAAAGAACCTGATGTGGAATGTCTGTTGAAAATTATATGCAAAGTTATAGATTATTGCTACTGCTGTTACAAAGTGTTATCAATTGCTTCATTTAAATTGTTTTGTTTTACCTGGCTTGAAAATATTCTATGCCTTCGTAAGTGCCATTGTGTTTGCCACGAGTCGAATCGTCCCAGTCTATTCCCAACCACTCTCCTTTGGTGTTTCCAACGGGTCCAACGTATTTTAACGTACCTCGATATCCATCGCACTCGATACGGCTTGAAATCTCATACTTTCTATCCTCTACCATACCTAAAAAGATTAGAATGATGATCCTGAAGTGAAGAAATATGAAGGAATATATCTTTTAAATTATGATGACGAGTATAATTTAGGCTCAACGAACTAATCACGACATGCAGAGATGTTTATACTTAATACGTAAGAATTTTATTGAAGAAACGCACCTATCAGGGAATACAGATTGCTTCAGATTGCGGCTGACAGTTTAACCTCTAACTCAGAAACGTACATTGAGAAAATATGGAAGGCGCACGATCCGCGCGATATCGCCGCGCACGAAAAACACGTGAATATCAAGGAGTATGAAAAGTAATGTAATATCAGACCGAGATGAATCATATACAGTGATTCGCTGCCTCTTTTGTATCTCACGAAGGCTTCGTTGTGAAGACACCCACCACCCACACACCGCTAGTCACCGCCTGCACTCGTGTCATGTGTGTACTGTATACACATATATGTGTCCGAGATGTGTGCATGCAAAACGACAAACGCTCACTGAGCAGTCAAGTAGATCTTTTATTTAATTAGCATATTCCGTTATATTGTAAAATATAAATCAATCAAATAAAAGAGCTCAACTATCGAGTTTGCGAACACAGCCATTGTATTGAGATATACATATTTTTTTGTAATGTGCATGTAATTGACTCGAGTTTAATTTTTAAGAAATAGTTTTGCTCTTTCTACAATGCACAACCAAAAAATTTATTTTTTTTACATAAATAAGGATATATCTTAATATTACTAAATGTACAGTAAAATGAACCATTTGGAAACGAAAAATAAATATTTTGATTTTATTTGTCGAGAATTCTGTTACATACTCTACACATATAATATAATATAAAAAAAAATATACAATTGTGTGCTAAAAGATATATAGTGTGCATAAATACGTATCTTCATTCGCTTTAACTTATATATGTTTCTGGTATGTCACGTCTATACTGAATCTATATAATATATATATATATATATGTATTAATATATTTATATATATATTATATATGTATATATGTAGTATATCGAGTTTGATAGTAATCTCTGCTTGTTGATTACATAGTAGAACATTACATCCAATACAATGAATTACACTGAATTTCATTGAATTACATTGAATTACATTAAATTTAAGGACTTATTGCTCCGATGCAAGATATATTTAAGCACCTAACATATAATTGGCAATGTTAGCGCCATGTAGGATTTCGATCCAGTAACCATCAGGATCTTTAATGAAGGCGATTCCCTTCATTTTGCCATCATTTGGTTTCTTTACAAATTCAACGCCAAACATCTCGAATCTTTGACACGCTTTGTTAACATCAGGTACTGCTATTCCAATATGACCTGTATTTCAAGAGAAAGAAAAATGTGTGATATTTGTGAAATTATAAAAATTTTAGTTTCATTTTTACATATTTTAATTTTATTTATATAGTTTAAATAATAACATTAAGAATAGTTAATGTATTTTATAATCTTACCAAATCCTTTGGGATCTATATTTCCATTGTAATATTTTACATCAGGATCTGTTTCTGACCCCCAATTGCTAAAATGTACATTAATTTTCAATAAAATAAAATACAAATACATCAACTTTCATAAATTCTCACAAAGTAAAATCTATAAAAATATCATACATTTTAAACTTACTGAGTTAACTCTATGACAGCTTTCCTACGGAATGTCCATTCAATACTTTCTCTTCGATCGAGTGGAATTTCATCCTGGTCCTCGTATCCAAGGAAATATAGGGAGAATTGCATTTCTGGAAAGTCGAGCTTTTGCAGTAAGGTCATTCCGAGAACTTCAGTATAGAAAGGTAGAGTGATTCTTGGATCTTTTATACGAAACATTGTTTGCTGCATTATATAACCATTTGTTGAGGGGTCTGGAGTTTTACAAAGTTTGCGAACTTCGCTGCTGCTCAAACCCAACGGCTCACCCATCTGTAATTAAGAGACATATCGTTTATTCTTCTAGAATAATTTTGGCTAAATTGACTAATTTAAACAATGATGAATTAAACTGACAAAATTATTTTATAGTAAAATTTTTAACTATACATTTTATCATCTTTAATCTAATTTCTTTGAATCAAGCAATAGAAATTATAATTTTATTCATATTAGTGAAATATTATAAGTATTACTGGATGCAAGTTAATAATTAATTAAATTAATTTTCCTATATCTTTTTAACTTAATTTAATGTATCATTTGTATAATTTTTTGTATGACTATATTATTATTTTAGTTTCTTACATTACTGGCCAAGTGATATATGATTATACAAGTATATATATAGTGTTGCACACATATAATCTGCTATCATCTAATTATTATCTCTAATGCAGAAGTCAGAAGTCAGTATTACCGCAAGACCGGAAATGATAAGGCGGAAGTAACCTGCAAAATTTCAAGTTAATAAAGCTCGTAACAATTTGCAAAACGAATCTACCAAATTATACATTATATTTGTTTTCAAACAGTGTCACAATATCAAAATATTGATACTCTTTACAATCTCTATGCTCACAGTACAATTCAAACTACTTTGACTGTTATAGTTTCTTTTTTTTTTGGAAAAAGTTCCATGTATTTTTGTTCTGTATAAATTTCAAAATATATTATTTATCAATATTTATGTATTAATCTTATTTAACAATATATATCTTGAATAGTTTTATGTTTTGTACAATTTTGTATACACAAAACATATAATTCTTGTTTTATAACTATGTAATATATAATAAGGTAGCTGACAATAACTGAATCATCTTTCTCATAAGTAGATACAGTGGACTGAATCAAAGCTCTATATGTAATTTTGCAATTTTGACAATAGTTAACGAGAAATTAATTAATAAGATCACAAGCACGGCGAGATATGACTATCCAACACAGGGAGATGTTTTTCTCGCCACTTATACGTTGCTATTGCCGGCATATATATCGGCATTGCTGTTAGTAGTAAACAACCTCCCCCCTCACGTCCACCCCTCCCACCGAGCGCCGAGCAAACAACGTGGCTAGTCACTGTAGTATCATATTTTGCAGCGTAATTGCACTTAACAGTAGAAGGATTCAATGATCTTTAGGAGTTCATTTCTCGTAACTATTGCAAAAATTGCGAAATATGCAAGACTTCGTTTCAAGACTAACATTGTCAGTTAATTAATTCACTTCACCTACTCACGAAAGATGATCCAGTCATTGCCGCTGACACTCTATGTATATGTATACAAATATATATAATAAAATTAAAACTATATAGAATCACATATATTACACTTCGTCTTCTTTTGTTTGTATGAGTAAAAATAACACTGTTCTATTCAGTTTTCTATTGTATAGCTCTCATTGTTAAACTGTGTATTGTTTCACACCGACGCGATACAGACACACTGCTTTTGTTGCCTTTGTCACGTTTTAAGGATTTATCGACTGTCGCGATTATTTCCGGACCGAAGAGTTTACAGATAAACCATCGCCGCCATTCAAGGACGCGCCTATTCCCGGCATCAATATTCGTTCACTGCCATATGGCAAATTCAAATTTGGCTGTAAGAATCATAGGCAATTGTCAGCGATACATATCAATGTCCAACTTCGCAGTTTATACTTCACACGCAGCATCCGGATCGCAGCGTAGAAACTGTCTTTTCGATCGCTCCTCGGATCGTCCTGCTGCGAAGTAGCTCTCGCGAGAACTCGATCGCACACAATTCCGGCTGCGTCATCGTTTTTCTATCACGTTCGTCCTCTGCGCGCGGACAGACATGTAATTCCACTCACTTACCTCTTCCTCGAAAGACGCCAGAGTAACTGGTAAACGCCGTACACACGAGGAAAAATGTCACGCGAGTAAACGCGAGATGAGACTCGGGAGCCTGATGAGAGCACAGCTAGCGTATACCAAGTACAGACGCTTAATGTCGGCAACGGTCTATATATAGCATGCGCATACGCTCGGCGTCATAAAATGTCTTCCACATCAAGTTACACCAATTTTGGGCGTATATACACTAAGCATGCGCATCGTACCTTGTACCTAGATATTGACCGGTGTCGTGACTGTGATTATATTTAAAAGAAAACAACGCTTATCGTAAAGCACAGCTCTAACGTGACAGCGTCTTCACGTTTGACAGAATGCGATTAAGGTGTGGGTGATCCCAACAGGTGATCCTAAAGCAAGGCAAATTATCGACACACGTTCTGCCATTTTTAAATATCTTTCAATTGCATTCGTAGAAACGCAACATTCTTGTACCACGATATTAAAGTACGCAAAAAATAGCCAGTGCCAACGTTGGCTTTTTAACGAAAACGGAAAAAAGTTATAAATATCATTTATTTTTGGCACGTGCGGCTACTGTGTTATCTAACGCGCGCGCGTGCGGTAATGTTCGCTTCGTACAACAATTGTACAACAGTCTCACCGAAGGAACAATTATATATGCACTGATGATATATCGTGCGATTGGAACTAAAATTTGAAGTTTGGAAAAATGACTGTTTAAAATTATGTTTTATATCAACAGTTATATATGTATATACAATTCTAATAAAAGCTGCGTTTATCTATCGTTGATAAATTATCGACCATCAATAAATTATTTGTTGTTGATAATAAATAATATTTTTACTTTTTAATTAAATTAAGTACATAGTACAGTTTAACTACTGCGTGTTATGTATATGTGTAATAAAGGAAGATTCCAAAGAAATACCTCCTCTAATAATTAAATTCTAATAATTAAAATTTTATGAATTGAAATTTCAAGAATTTCAATATTTTTAATATAGAAGTAAAATACGAGAAATTAAATTTGTGTTAGAAATTTGATTCCTTTTTTATTGAACAAATAACAAATACAGAAGCTGTATGTAGATATAGTATAGCATTTTAATCTTCCGTTTCCAAAACGCGCAAGAGATTTAAATTTTATGATGAAAATGTTTAAACAATTTGAAAATGAAAAATGTTAAGAAAATATTATTAGGAAAGATTATAAATAAAAGTTAGAAAAATTAATGCAATTTCCTTGCCAATTGTGATGCTATCAGTTTTGGTAATTTTCAATTTAAAATCTTTAAACTTGAAATTTTTGAAATTGCAATTCTTACAATTAGAATTTTTATTAGATTAATTATACAGAAATAAGTGCAGAGAGATATGTAAATTATATTTATGCAAATTACAAAATATGCGTTAATTATTATATGCCATACGCAAATACTGGCCTTACAACTTACAGAAGTCACTTCATACTGTTGATTATTATTTCATTTTTTTTTGTTTGTTTACACTTTTAGTGGGTGCATCATGCATCCAGTGTTTATACACATACGCTGCTGCTAGTAGTTGTCAAACTTACAGGCACGTGACGTGCGCGTTTCGTGGAAAGTAGAGTAACTCTAGTGGAAAGTGGAGTAGTTATTCTATTGAGCGTGACAGTTGAGACGCTATTCCGTTTTATCTTATCTGTATCTGTCAAAAAATACTAAACCCAAGTTGATTGAAATCAAATCGGGACATTAAATCGTCCCACAAGATTGACAACGAACAATGGCGCACTGGTTTCACCGTAATGTGTTGAAAGCAACATGGGCGAATCAGAAGTTTGAGTTAAAAGTCTCCAATTCTACGGACGCCACTAGAAAGCTTTGCAGGTTAACAAATTTCTATAAATCACGTATTGTGGATTCCGCGATCACCACTTGTTGATGATGACTTTTTTTGGGTTGCCGAAAATTATAATAATGTTCGATCATTTTCATGTAAACATATAATTTTATTGAAACTCACATCTGTATTATAATACTAGTTATTAATTACAGTAACGAGATGTCAAACATACATTTTTATATTTCTTTCTCATATCAAAATTCTCTTTTTCTTTTTGAAAAAATAATGAATATTTTCTCTTCTTTATATTAAGAAACTTGTGTGTTTTCAGTGACTTAAAGCTGTCAAGAGCCAGACTGCTGGAACTAATCAGAAATGCAAATAATACCAGTGATACAATAGAGCCTGCGTTTCTCAGTTATCTCAGTTTGTTGTATGGATTTTTATGGGAAGTCAAACCATCTGAGGAAGAGGCTCAACATGTTGGCAGACCCAATCCTAGCAAGCTGAGAAATGTTTTTGTGTTCAAGTGGACCCACACATTACTTGGCTGTGGCACATTGTATAATTAATTATAAAGATATTTAATAAAATAATTCTAAGACAATCTGTGAACGATTTCAAAATGATCTCTAATTACAAATGTTTTATTAAAGTTCCAGCGCTGATTCTGTTTACGAAGCAGCTAATATGAGTGTCAACGTAGGCCTTTGGTTTATGAAGCATGCAGCGATGATTGCTGCAAAAGATGAGTAAGTATAAATTAAACAAGGCTTCAAAATAATCCTCAACATAATTATATAAAAATATGGAAGAAGTAAATGTATTTTTTCTTTCTATTAATTATAATAAAATTCTATTATTTTCTTAATGTGTGTGTCTGTGTGTGTATATGTGTACATATAGTTATAATTATAATACATATCATAATTATAGCATAACAATGAACGAGGCTAAAGAAGTACACAGTATGCTAAGACGAGCTGCTGGTATATTTACCTTTGTACAGACTGAATTTTTGCCGCAGTTGGATAATCCACCACCTTTGGGAAGTGATTTAGATCCTCGTGTACTAAACGCATATGTTAATCAATGCACAGCAGAAGCACAAGAAGGTTGTACTATTGCAAGAACATGCTTTTAATAAGTTTATTTGAATATACTCACATGGCTTCTTTGTCATTTTACAGTGACAGTGGCTAGAGCGGTAGAGCTCAAACATAATTCTAGCTTGATATCAGCTTTAGCCAATGAGACTAGTAAGTTATTTCTGGATGCTGCTAATACTCTTCGTTCATTTAAGCCAGAAATAATCGCTCAGTGGACGAAATATTTGGAGCTTAAATCAGCGTTTTATCAATCTTATGTAAGTTCATAAATTTGTAAAAGTCGTCGAATTTAATTGCAAATGCAATTGACAATATCTATTATTATTTCTTATTTACACTTTGTAAGCTTACTCATGCTCTAATTACTCTAGGCTTATAATTATTGCGGTGAAAACTTGTTGTCAATGGATAAGTGCGGCGAAGCGATACGAGCAATGCAGGAAAGCGATTTATGTTTAAAAAAAGCGAAAGCGCTCTGTCAAGAATATGGGAAAACGAACGGCCCTGCGCCACGCGTTAAACCAGATCAGCATGCTGTGTTTAAACGCTTGGCGCCTATGGTGAAACTTACTCTTGATAAATGTAATCGAGAAAATGGATTGATGTAATTATCTCGTTTAAATTTATTATTACAATATTTTTCCATTAATACAATATACATTGTTTTGTGATGCATGACACTTAAACAATCCATTAATCTAAATTTAAATATTAGATATCATCATACAATACCCGGCGAAGTTCCAGCCTTGGATACTAAAGCTACTTACGGCTTAGTCAGTCCGATCGACTTTCAAATGCCGTCACCAAATCCTATCTGGAATTTGGGTACATATGACGTGTTAGCCGGAGCAGCGGCAGCGAAAGCAGGAAAGGAACAGAATTTACCGCCAATTAAAGAAGAGGCGATTCATCAAAGTAGCAAGGAGCCGAAAAACGCAAGCGGTTGCACGCTACAATAAGGCTCTCTATGCGGAATGATATAGGCCGTAAATGCTTTTTCTTTTTCTGTCAAGGTGATATTATTTTTAATTGCAATAGACATGTGCCGACGATCGAATTAGATATACGTGTGCGCGTCGCATGCACGCAGGTACAAATCCCGTTGTGTGAAATGCGTGAAGTATTAATATTGTTAGATAAAAAAAAGAATACAGGATAATTATCTGTTATTAAAATACTGTAAATGTATTTCATTCAGTATTAAATATTGCATTATGCATGGATAGATAAACGACTGCAAAAGAGAGATTAATCTAGCTTATCAGTGTACATCTACTTTGTGTTGCACATGTCTGAAACTTTCAAACGGGCATCTTTTACATTTGTGTTAATGTTAAATAACATATATGACGCGAGATTGTATGTAATTTATTTTTATCGTAGATTATCAATACTATGACTATCACAAACAATTTCTTGCTAACAGCAAGGAATTTTTAATGTCGCTGACATTATTTTAATCGCTATGTTCGCTCTAGTCAATGCTTTAGTGAAACTAAATTTTTTAAATTGATAAAGCAAGAGTGAAAATTTTTGCAAATAACGTGCATTACTAGGATGCGTGTATTATAACAAAGAGATATATATTTAATCTTTTTCTATATATTTTTTATAAGCTATAAGTTTAAACGCAGAATGTTCAATTCAAATTTTAAAGATATTATACATGTATATATAAAAGTGTCTCAAAAACATGTTAAGCTAATGCCAAGCATTAGTTATTACTAAATTAAAGCAATTATTTTTGTTAATTATTATTTACGATATGTAAAACATTTATATATACAGTTAGTGACCTAACAAAATTAAAAATTTACAGGTTGTTGTACCTGATATTGATTTTGAAAATTTACTTATATAGATAAGAAATTTTGTTAGTATTAAATAATTTAGAAGAATAATTTTTGTATGTAAAACACTATGAGATCAATGTAGCAATATTCTACCTATATAACATAGATAATAAAGAACATTAAGTCACTTCTATAAAGATCATATTTTATATTTAATCACATTTTTCATATAACAATAATTATGCATGTATATAAAATATAATCACGTAAATTTAACTTATCTACACAATTTACTTCACTATTTGTACAATCCATTGAAATTAAAACATAAACGCTAAATTTCTAAACAAAAAATAAAACGTTACCATTTTCGCTATTGATAATAATTTCAAATAAAATGAAGATTTCAAGGACTCTTTTATATAATAATAATTAATACGTTAAACAGGGCGAATAAGAGTCAAATTACAATTTAAAATCGAAATCTGATAATTTATTCTAATATTATATATTGCGAAGAATATCACGTAAATAATAATTTCAATTTAAAATGTCAGCAATGCTGTTGTTTTCGAGGTGTTTCGAACAGCCAGTTAAAATCTTTGACAAAGATTTTAATTGGCTGCTGGATAAAGAATTTGGAGTTGCTTCAGGAGTTTCTAGAGACTGTTTTCTTAACGACCAATCCGCCGGCACATCCGATGAAATCAGATTGGACGATGTTGTCCAATTGGTTTTTAACAACTTTGTTCGTGCCCGCACGTACCTAACCTGACCCCGGCCGATGATGGCATTCGATCGGATTGCAATACGGACGGGACGCGCGAATCGTCCGCTGCTTCTGTTGCCCTGAAGTTGACGATGACGCGTGGTTACGTCGCGGTAATGAAATAGCGAACACTGTTGGTGAGGAGACACGTTGGTGGCAGTGAAACGCGAATGTGGGAATGTCGGAGCGACGTGGTGATTAAGATCCACCGAGATGGAGTAGACTTTGCCTATGCGTGAAACATAAATACACCCGTGACGAAGCAGCGTCTTGAGAACATCCAGGTCGGTGCTCGGTCTCTTCCTTGTTGCCGAGTCGAGAGGTAAGAGAGACGGTCCGGCATCATCGTTTGATACTCGACGAATCTCGGCACAATAATAAATCTTCCACGAACCAATTTTATTAACAACATTAGATCATACATACTTATATTCACTTGCACGTAATTGCGTGCTCGACAAAACGAATCTGTGATCGCTTCGCTTCTTCATTAATTATTAATATGTAAATATAAAAATGTACACAACTCTCTCTTGATGAAGAGTATAAGTTACATATAACATTAATTGTTTTATTTTATAAATTTATTAAAATTTATTAGACATTTTTTTATTTCGTTAAAGTAAGTTTTAGTTTATTAATTGAAATATTCCTGCAACAATTTTTATTAGCAAGCATTTATATAGATATGAATTTTTTTTTTCATTCAGTCTCGTGTATAATTAATGCTGAGGTATAAAAGCTGAGGTATAAAATCCTAAGCTCTTAACTTTTCAGAATCTTAAATGTTTTCTTAATATTTGATGATTCTATTCTCTAAGCAGAACAGGAAATAAAAATGGAGGAAAAACGTAGCAGTAGAGATACAACAGAGGAAGAGGAACTAGAAGACACTGAAAATATAATAATTAACGAAGTGGATGGCTTACCCAACTTACATCCAAATTATGAACAGTTAGAGTTAAAATTTAAGAGAGAAAAGGATGGCACAAATATTAGATCGATTGACGAGTTAGTTCACGACGAAGATTTACCAACTTCTGTAATCGTAACGAACGTAGATCCTCGAGTTTTTAAAGATGACGATTTGAAGGTAATAAATAATTTGTATGAAATATCCTGAAGAAAGAATTTTTATTACATTATCTGATCCTATGTTTTTACAGTCGGACATAGAAAATCTTTTCAAACAGTTTGGGGAAGATACTACGTTTCAATACTTTAGATCTTTCAGAAGAATGAGGGTAAATTATAGTTCCCCCAGTGCCGCAGCAAATGCAAGGATACAGTTGCATCAATCGCATTTTGGAGAAACTGATATTAATTGTTACTTTGCACAACCAGTAACACCAATAGGTACGTAATCATTAAGGAATTCTAGAATTAAATATTGTCACACTGATAAAATTAATAAAGTGCAGAAGTAATAATATAAAACGACTTTAAGAATTTAATAATAAAGCATAAAAGCCAACGTCAGTTCATGTTGAAAATGTTTATGCTATTCATTTTAATATCAATTTAAATAAACATTTCAACCTTTATTAAATCATCTTCAGTATTATTTAAAATATTCATTAAACATAGCAAGTCATAAAATCGTTAAAATATTTAGAAAAATTATCAAAGAATTAATATGTTAACCAGAAATAATTTCAATAATTAAATTAATTTTTAATTTTTTACATTTAAAATTAAATTAATGTAGACATGATAGAACATTGATGCGAGCTACTTTTCCGCAACATGAACTGGCACTGGTTATGCTTTATTATTAAGTAAAGTACAGAAAATTTACATATTAACGAGATATGGAATATAAATTATAGATATGGAAGATCAACATCTTCAACCACCCGCGCTTACCAAACAATTCCTCATATCTCCTCCTGCTTCTCCGCCAGTCGGTTGGGAGCCACGTGAAGAAGGAGAGCCGCTCGTTAATTACGATTTATTAACCGCTATAGCCAATTTATCTGCAGGTTTCTATTGAGTCTTATTATTTTATATAAACCTACACCTATTTCATATTTTACATAAATAATTTGATATTGCAGGCGACACACACGAGATACATCCAGGAGGCTCAGGGCAGCCAGGTATAGTTGTGCATGTTTGCGAAAATGCGAATCCAACGAAAAATGCGCCTCGTATTCAACACACGCGATGTCCGGAACACTAATTTCCCCCCTTTATTCGCATTTTAGATTTGTCATATGATACGTTTTTATCCCTATTAAAAAGACAGATACGAGCTAGCAAAAGGAGACATATACTTCTAGCGAGCGATTTTAAATTAGTATTATATTGAAGAATTACAATTCAAAACTAATTGCGTGGTTGGTATCCAGTTGACGAAAGTATTATGTTGTGAAAAAAATTACAGCTCGATACAGTAGACGACATGGTGTCTGGTATCTAGCTTCCCGGATAGCAGTGATATATGAATATTAACGAGAAATATCCGTCGTTATATATCGATCAAGATGTAGAATTCATTTGTGTTTATCCATTGAGAATTCCTGAAGAGTATGCTTGCGCTCCATTTCTTAAAATCTACATATAGTGAAGATTCGAGAAATTTCAAGGCCTATATTGTTTCATGTTTCACTCAGTGTCAATAATTGCATATCGTGAGAAATTACGTCCGATCTGATTAAGCTAACGATTACTGTGTCGACGACAAAAATCGTTCGAAATATATTCAGAGATTTTGCAATTCTACCTCTCATTGTCAGTGTGTTACTTGTATTCTTAAACAGCACGTAATGCATTACAATCTTGTTGTAAATCCACAAATGATACTAATGTTAGAATAATCGATCGAATCAAAATGTTCGAATTTAATAGCTTAACTTCGACCTTATTTAATTATTCTCATGTATTTTTCTTTCCGTTTCAAAGCCTTCAAGATTATACCTGTTGAATTTTTCGTTTTGTTTTGCGTGCATGCGAAAAGCAAATCTACGGAAATATATGGCATTAATATGTATGTGATATGTGTGTGTATACGAATGTATTATTCTAAAAATATCGTGTGGTTCTTCGATCTGTGTTTCCGTAGAAAGCTAGCTCACATTAGCTTAAACGTTACATATGCTATCCTAAAGCTATATCTCTATGGTCTCTTGTTAATGAAGTTCATGGAAACTTATTGTTATCACTTTGCTCTTTAAGAGGATTAAGTTAGTAAAAATAATAAGCTAGAGAGATAGCGAGTATGTGGCCATATCAGCGTTACTGATTTATGCCGAGGCAGTGTGATGATTGTGTATATGTATATATTGTTCTGTACGTGAAACGTATATAATTCCTGCAAGATCTGTGACCTAAAAATAATTGTTGAATATTTATAAATACTTTATAGCAGCACTTACTTTTGTATAGTATGGTTACTATTTATATTCTCTTGGCGATGAAATGGCGTAAAACCGTTTCGTCATTTATGTAATTTCAAACTTTCTTTTTTTTTATCTAACAATTCCGAAGATCCTAAACAGATAATACGAATAATTATTACACCAGAGAAATAATGTACAAATGATTTGTATCAAAGAGAAGAAAATATAAATATATAAATTATTTTACGTTAAAATTCTGATATATATTATGTACACACACACACGCACGCACACACGCACACATATATGTAAAATATACCTATATATAAAAGTATAGAGCCTGATGTAAACGCTACTTGTTGCCGCGTGAAAATTATTGCATTTATCTGCATAATAATAGGTAAAATGGAAATCGATTCGATAAAGATGTATTGTACACAGTTATGAAGTACTCTGTCGTTTAATTCAATGAGATTTTATACCATTACACTGGTCTTTCACTTATTGGAGTTATATAAAAATTTTATACATATAACCGTCGTTATTATTTGCTTAAATAACTACTTTTTTCTGACTTATTTCAACAATTCGAATCATCATGACTGTTGCAGATGTAGAAAAAAAATCATCGTACAAATATACATACTTCTATCACCGTTAAAATCAAGTTTGATGTTGCGAGGTATATGCTTATACGCATTAAAGTATTATAGGCCATTAGACAACGTTATTCGTTGGGCTTTTAATGTGTATTTGGAAAATGAAAATTATGAACATTTCTTCGAATGCCGTCCGCAAATTTGATTTTAAATTCTAGGGCTAAATCAAAAGAATGTGTTATATCGTATAGAGAATATCCGAACGAATGTTTTGCAGTAGACCACATTTAATTAGAGTGACGAGTAAATCCGTATGTAAAACATTATATAGTGTATATATATATATATATATATAGATTTATTCAAGTATATGCGAATTTTTATTATTTACGATTGAATTTAATGCAATGTACATATAGATGTGCACTGTCGTCCAGATTTGTGCAAGGATTTATTGATATTTTTAGTGCCAAATTGTTGCAGCGTGTCAATAATGTACAACAGAGGCTTTTAACAAATTTAGTTATATTCAGCTTGTATATTCATACAAGTAGATTCGAGGAAAAAATATAAAAACGTTTCAGGAAAATCTTTTTAGCGAAGTATAAACGATTAAAATAATGGTAATGTCATCGATGTATGTATATACATATATAATTCTCCTTTTAATTTAACCCACTTTCTCTTCTCTATTCAAATTAATATAAATCAATGCCAAAATAAACGATAAATGCTAGTTTCATTATGATGCGATATTGTACATCGGTCTTATTATTATTGCGACATTTTTCCAGTTTTCTATACATTTCACTTTATTCACACGTATAATAAATCGGCAATTGTTGGGTGGAGGTAATTGCAACTTGTCCTATCGACTTCGTATCTCAAGTTTTAATGCAATAGTATATCGTCCTTTCTTTCTTTCCACTGCACTGTAAGAAAACAGATGAAACATAATCGCGCAATGCGACGGACTCAAATGTATCCTCACACATGAGAAAACTAAATCCATTTTTTTTATAAAAATATAATATTAGCCATACAGTTTGAACAATCTCGCAAGTATATATAATCCCGTGTTATGCCATATACACAAATGTATTAATGTCATCCTCGTGTCTCTTAATATATTTTTGTTCAATGAGCCATTCGATCTGTTCCTTTATCATCTTTTTACTCGGCAAGAACATATTTTTCAATATATCCACTAGTTGGGTCTGTAATTGCGCATTAGTGATCATCTTGCGCATCTTTAGGATCGTGATGATAGCTTCCTATAATCACAACACAAAAGATATGTAAGAATTATTCATAATCAATTAAACTGAATAAATATCAATTATATTTTGTTATGTGTTATATTATATTGCTTTATTTAGTATAAAGTTCATACCTGAACCCGTAATATTCTGAGTTGTACAATGCAATGATTATCCTCTTCTCTGCTACGTTCTGTTGATAATTGAAGACGTCCTATTAAATTGATTTTTCCTCGCTTTTGCATCTTGCCATTTTTACTATAAAATCGCCAATAGAAACATCGCAATTAATTACAATAATTAATGTTATTTTCAGAATAAAATGTATTATTACTCATTAATATTAAATTTGAAAAAACAAACGAGATGAAACCAAATAAATTAAATATTCAACACGTATTTATATTTATAATTTAAAATATTTTTTATCAACATAAGAAATAAATACTAACACAATAGCAAATTCTTGATTAACCCAAAATCTCGTATCGTTCGCAAAATCTTTCGGAGTAGCAGCATGCGGTTCCACCAAAAGAAGTTGCCGTTTTAACTTCGGGAAGGCACACAAAGACCACAGAGTCCGTCTCAGCTCGGGATCCGGAAGCTCGGTAGCCAACCGGAGGTTCTCGTAAGAGATCTTTTCGTTGGGTCGTTGATTCCAGGCAAACAATACTGCCATTTGAAAGGTTGTTACATCTATATCAAATCGTCCCACTTTATTTGCAAATGTTATCTGAAACATTTACATATAAAATATGTATTAAGATTAACATATTTTGGATTTTTTTGGAATACTGAACACGGATAGAATTGTAAAGTACCGTGCCGTTCGACATGTGATGATGCCATTGCAATTTCCTTCCACTATGCTTTTTTTTATAAAACTCTTCAACTTCCGGAATATAGTCTTCCAGTTGTAGTGGCAAACTTACGGTGACGCGTTCGCTACCCCTGGCCCATGCACCTGCATTAAGAATCTACAAAAAAATACAGTAATATTCTCTTTTTATATCATTAATATCTTTTCTATTTCTTTTTAATACCAATCTTAAATGAGAACATGTATATTTATCAAGAAACAGCATGTATAATACCTTAATATTTATGCTATCTGCAATAGCAGCTCGACATTGTTCCTTAAATTGTTGATTCAGATCCTGAGATACTTTAATATCTTGGAACATACGGGCTAATTTATTAACAAAATCCGCAGGCATGCCAACTTCACGAAGCATATCTACCATATTTTCTTCTTTTTCCGAATCCGTTGTCGTATCTAATATTAATCGTCTAGTTAAGTGCGCCTTATGATAACGCATAAATACGTCCTTATTTTGAACATATTTTAACACCAACAACTAAAATAAAAAACGTGAGATAGAATAAATTTCTCAGAAAAGATTTTTTATTTTTAACTTATACGAATATAGTTATATCATTGTGTATACTGACCACATCCTTCAGTTTATTTTCGATTTCATCAGTAGTTAGTTTTTTACTGAGTGGTGTTTTTCTAAGAAGCATATCACAGAAATTTGCTAAGAGTTCTGGACACTTCGATTCAGCTAGTCCATTATTATTAGTAATAGGTCTATTATTTAAAATGGACGCGCAACAGATTCCAGAGCCCTGCCGAGTAGACAAATCTAACTTAAATACCGTGGCATCATTCACAACTAGCTTATAAGCTTTATCTCGTGCTGTAAGAAACCGTGGATCATCATCGAATGCCTCTTTAACAAGTGTGGAAAATCTATGGAAAAGATCTAACAGTCTTTCCACGTATTTCTCAGAATCTTGAGTGATAACATCTACAGCTGCCATCATATCCGCTAAACCTGCACTCGCGATATGTTCTTCCAAATTTCTCAACATAGGATTGACGCCTTCAGGCACTCTGTCCATTAATTTCAGCATGAGGCGAAGTTCTACAATTATTTATTTATGTTAATAAGTACCAATCATGGAAATAGCATTGCAAAATTAACCGTAAACTAAACAAAATTAAAAATTATATTGTAAATTTTGATTACTTACTGTCAGTTTGATCATGTTGAATCATCCGTGGACATTCAGCGAGTATCGCTGGCTTAAAAGTTGCAACTAACACTTTCACGCAACAATCCGTTAGTCGTTGCATACTCGCGGTATTCGGTTCCAAATACTTTTGAGCACGTGCCTCCTCTTCTCTCAACTTCAAATCGGCGTAACGCATATAATTTTCGACACCGTGCATAGATAGATATTCTGGAGCTTTTATCCAGTAAAATGCTTCAGTGGCTTGTATATACGCCGCTTCAAAATTTTCTCTATATATTTGAAGTTTATCCGTTGGATTTGAACACAAATTCACTAGAGCATTATTGATAACCAATGTTATTAATAAAAAAAATTTGCGGTACACAAAAATTTATGAATGTTTCATTTATTACCATAAGATTCTCTGACACCTATAACAAGTTGAGAATCAAATGCCTCGCCGTTTCTTTCAGCTCGTACCAATCTCATGGCTGCGTCTTGAAGTTTTTGTTTTATTTCATTGAATATACTTTGGTTCCAACTGTCCAACATTAGCTACATAACAGAGAGAAATAAGATTATATAATATTATAAAATATTAATTGTATTATATACAAAATGCATTTAATTCTTTTACCTTTCTAACAATGTCATCAGGCTGATTCTTCTTCTGTGTGCTAGAACTAGTTTTTCCAGCAAGATACGTTTCTAGTTGCCTAAACGGTGTTGGTAAATAATTACATTGGGTAAAAAACTTTCTCCATTCAGCGATGTATGCTTTCAATAATGCTTGTTCCTCTTGATGTGCTAAAACTCTCTACACAAATTTACAAAACTTTGTATTATATTCGCTTATTTCATTATAATTTTGGTTGGAAGAAAAGTTCTATGGTATTTTATTAGTTCAAAAAATTGTACATTTAAAAAATTGGCAATTATACTATTTGAGAGAGCAGAGTTTTAGTTTTAAGAATCTGATTTTTTAATTGCGGTACGATAATTTTTAACGGAGTTAAGTAAAATCAAAATGTTCCTTTACTTAACTTGCGAACTCAGGAACAAAAAAATTGTAGAAACATTAAAAAAAAATAATTTCGTGGGGAAAGCTTCAAGCTTTCACAACGAATACTCGAAAATTTTCGCAAATTTTTTTTGTATACATATATGATAGATCTACAAAGTGAGAAGAAAAATTTTCCTTTTTCCAGCTCGTAGTTTTCTATATGTATATAAAAATGATCAAATTTACATATACTAAAAAATTATAAAAACCTTTTAAAAGTAAAGATTTCAAGCTTTAAAACCATTTTTTTAAATTTAAATTTTGTTAATTTTGACAAAGATATTGTATATATAGTATTAAGCTAACAAAAACCATAGACTTTTCCTCCAATATATAAAAAAGATATTAAAGATACAATCTTGATTTTGGCTTATAAATAAACTCCATTCTCTTACCAGTTGAGCTTGTTTTATAAAATTCATTATATCCTCCTGCAAAGCATCACGTAACTTAGGTGGCCCTTTGTCATCCCACAGGCATACATGAACGGAGTAAAACAAATCCTGCCATTCGAGTTGAGTCACTGTCTCTTGCTTGAGCAGTTTTAGTATGATTGGACGCATGTATGGCCATTTATCCTCAAATGTGAATTGTGTCCTATCCTAAATATTAATAGTGTATATCAGATAAGTGATTAAAATGTAGAATTAGAGATAAATTATAGGATTAGGAAATACAAGATCATGAGAATGCTTGATGTCCAGCAAAAAATTAATTAATCATCAAAAAGTATTCAGATTCCTACTCAGGTACTCAGATAATATGATAGGGAGAATACAACATGTGTTCCTTACAAATATCATATTATGCTTGCTTAACATTCAGTAAACAAGAATAAAATAATACCTAAATAAGACACACAAGTAGGAATCTAAATACAGCCTAAGCTGAATCGTCATTGTAATAAACAAAAAAGAATCTTTCGAATCGCAATATCAGAGATTTGAATATCAATCGTGTAATTTCGCATGGTCGGGACGCGCCTATTATCTTGATTTTGTAGCAAGATAACGCCGATCATCGCATGAAGTCCTCAAGAACGATATCGTGTCTTTTTTTTCGCAGCAATTTGTTTATTCAATGTCCACTAACCTTTAACAACGCCGCCATCACAGACTCTCGACGTGTACGTCCACTAGGATTTGCAGGATTATACGCCAATGGACATGCACAGACGGTCTCGTGTGAATCTACCGGTCGACAGGAGGTGATGACGAAACCTTAGATTAGCGTGAAACAAGACGTGATGCGGGCCACATCGCACCAGGATTCCGCAATCGCTCGCCCGTCTGGTGCAGAGTGTGCGGACAAATCCTGGAGCGTCGTCCCCGAAGCGGAAAAATAAGAGTTCGCGTGTTTCTCGCCCAATTCCCTTTCCCTGCATGTGTACATACATAACACTGCGATCGCGATAAAAATCCCTCTCGCGCGCGTGGCAAGTGCCGTTACAATTCCCTATACGATGTTTCGCGCGATTGGACAACTCCGCGGGAATTAATATGGCGGTTTTAACCTTTTCACCATTCGTGCCTCGATGGGTAATTTTCATATCAAAATTTTTTAACGTGTCACTGCTTCCTCGGTTTTTTTTTTTCGAAATTGAGATTCAGCTATAGAAGGAATAAGAAATCTCAACCTATCAGAAATCGGATACATTGGTATACATTGGTTTCTGATAGGCTTTTCTTATTCCATCTATTCTAGCTGCACTCTTGCTCTCGCTATTTATATTTTTTTCAACTTATATCTATATACCTATATATACATAAAATCTTCTTTCCACACAAATTAAAAAAGGTATGCAAACATATAATTTAAAAATATGTAAAAAAATACTTGAAGCTGATTACAGTGGACAAATGTATGAACGTTATGTTATTATTTGACTTTTGATGCAAAGATACAAGTAGTCAAGAGACCTAATTGCAGAGAATTGTAAGAACCTAATTTTTATAACATTAAAATTTTTTTTTGGTTGAATACACTTGTGAAACAAACGCCTAGCTATATGACGTCACAAAGCAGTGCGGCATATGCAAGACAGCACAATAAATAAACATGGAAGCTAATTTAAAAGTGAACTCAAAAGTCAAGTACTTATCCAACCAAGGATTCACGCACATTTCAATATGCCTTAAAATATGTAGAATTTAAAAAACTTATAATTAATACGCTTAAATCTCAATAGGATTCACAACAATCGCCTTTCTCTTGTCTTCTTTATTGTTGTTGTCCTCTTCTTGCTGCTGCAAATCATCCTGTCCTCTGATTCTGATGTTGTGCTTTTCCTTGTACTCGTTTATCTCGATTCCTTTTTTTGTCACTTGGTCGTTTAAAGCGTCTATCACTTTCATCAACTGAAAACAACACATTTAAATGTTATCATGTGTACGCATGCATCCAACAGTTAGCTCCAAAAGGAGACAATAATGTCGGCATAAGTCACACCTGTTCTTTGTTCGTTACCAGAGCAGGCATCACATCTTCCACTGTGCGTTCGCACAGAAGTCCACCGATCATCCTGTAGCACTTCCTCTTGGGATCCACGTTCTTTAACGTGTCAATAACGATTCTAAAATGTCAGTTGGATTAGTGAGATGGCAATGACTCATATATTATTGTACTAGACGGCCCTCATCTCTCATTGTCGATCAAATTTCGCAAAGTTAAAAAAACTCAAGGTCTCCTCGTGTTCACAGGAGCGTTTTTGATTGTAAAGAGGGAAAAAGGCAAGGCGTATAGGTTAGGTAAACTCATACTTGTGTTCGTTCAATTCCATTTCCATCTCGGACAGTTTGTTTGCCAGCATTCTCTGCTCATTTCGGAGCGACTGGAACTCCGTCAGTATTTCTTCGGCGGTTTTCTCTCGTTTTGACGGCGTCTTCGCCGGTTTTTTCTCACTGGCCATATTAGGAATTTCGATCGCGACGGTTTCACTGCGACAATATTCGGATAATGTAGAGAACTGTAGAGAAAACCCACCACGAGCGAGAACAACGTCGTCGACGGGAGAGCAACTGTGCAGGATTTTCTACCCTGTTTCTAGGGAATTTGGGAAATGGTCATTTCGGTTACCTACTTTTTTGCGAAAAGGGTAGCAAATTGAACCAGAGAGAAAGAAACTTGAGACAGGACACGAGAACCCTTTTTCTTGTAACCGTAAAATGCTCCACGCACTACCGCCTTCTAAAGAAGTGAATGTCAATTACACAACAATATCCATCTTTTTACGGCGCTTCTGATAGAAATAAATCGCTAAAAATTAATTTAATAGAAATAATAAATACAACATACTGAAAATGTGTTTTGAATTCTTTTGCCGTATAATCTGGGATAATTCTTTCTACAAAGCCTTCAACACGTGGTCTTTTGTTTATTTTTTTTCTCTTTTTGCTTAAGGCTCCTGAATACTCAGTCAAGAACTCCGTGTTGATGGGTAGCGACACCGAATCAGTCAGTGGCTAGCAAAACTGGTAGTACGCTACTGGTTATACACACAATTGCAAGCTCATGTCCGTGTGCTCATTTTCGGGTAGAAGGGGAGCGCACAGACATGGGTTCATGCTTGTGTGTGTGTATAGCGCCTCGCCATGGTAAAAGTCTGAACTAATAGGCGTGAAAAAGTGATGTTTTGACGACAAAATTTTTCTTGCGTGCCATTTCGTCAATATTTGCTTATTTGTGAAAATGTGACTTCCCTCGTACTCGTGAAAGTCCTAAAAATTGCCGGAAACTGCAGTTATCGTGAAATTTTATACGTAAAAGCGTATATTTCACTCGTTTCATCAGCTGTTAAACTGTGTGATTCTGCCCGAGAATAGGCTCATTTTACGTGTCCTTTTACGACCATTTACTGACTATCAGAAGAGGAAAGGACAGTTTCCGGCAATTTTCACAAGTGTTTTTGTGCGATATCGCCTTTTAAATTTATCCAAATTGTCTTTATTAAAAAATGGGACGCAAGAAAAATTAATGTGTTTTTCTCGCCTATGACGTCACAATTCCAACATGGCCGTCGCCGGTATTTAGGAGCCACATATAAATTCACTGCTTCATCTTCATTTTCATCGGTTGCTTTCCATCTACGTCACAGTAATTACCTTATCTTTATTTAACATTAGCGAACGACAAGCCTTGTGTCCACGATACTAGAAATCGGTCCGAGATCTCGAATAAAGGAAAAATTGACAAATTACATTGGTCATGTGACCAAATTGTTCAAATGTGATTTGTTAATTCTTTCTTCATCCGAGATCTCGGACCGATTTCTAGCATCGTGGACACAAGGCTTCACACCGGTGTAACTTCTAGTATTGTTCGTTTTGTCTCTCGGGAGCTGCTCGGAGTCGCTCCGATCTCTGCTCCGAACGAACCCAGCATACTTGGATACAATTCATTTAATGCTGCAAATGCTTTGTTGATCAATCAGAAGAAAGAATTTTACGTATTGATCAATAAAAGAATGTTTCGAGGTATTTACAACATTAAATGAATCACATCCAAGTACACTGGGTTCGTTCGGAGCAACTCCGAGCAGCTCCCAAGAGACAAAACGAACAATACCTCTGTGTCTCTTGTTGGATAATAAACATCACTTGAAGATGGATGATTTATAAGATTTAATTAGTCATCATTTTTTTTAATCCTCGAGTACAATTTCTATCAATTGTAATAATGTAGCTTTAAGCTGGAAACACAACAGGCCTTGGATATGACTGGGCCAACTCATACAAAAAGAAGAATTTCCATCAAGAGCGCCATAAAAGATGGATTTTGTTATAGTTGACGTCCATTTCTTCAGAGGGCGATAGTGCGTAATGCATTTTGCAGTTACAAGAAAAAGGTCCTCATGTCCTCTCTCAGATTTCTCTCTGCTTGAATTTAAATGACAACTTTTCGAAATTCCCTGGAAACCAAGGAAAATAGAGAATCGTCACGAGCCATTTTGGAGCATCACCGTTCGAGCAGCTGTGCGCAGGATAATCGTTCGTCTCATTTCGCTGCGAAATGTCAACGTTCCCGGCCACGCGCGCTACATAGAGTGCAGTTTCGTGAGATTGACATTCGGACTTTACAACGTCTGGCCACATTTAGACAACGTCGACGCAGGTTTGCGAAACGTCGTTGTCATCGTTGTCATTGCGGGTGGTGGTGCGAAACTGATCGGTCGCGGAGGGAACAAAGAGTCTGCAATCTGAACGCCTTTTATTAACCTTGACCCGCTCGTCGACAACAGTGAGTGTCCCGTCGACAAAAATAGCTGCCTCGAAAAGTTTTTCGCTTGATATTCAAAAAAGAAGAACTCTGCCCTCACCTTGTTCAGCGTTGACTAATCCGTGAGATATATTGCTCTAACACACACATACATACACACACACACACACATACATGCTATACACACACACACACGCGCACACACACACACGAGATGCTTGCAACGCAGTACAGTGATGTGCGTTACGATCCGTGTCATCGCGCTTTTGGCTCTGGATCTCGTCTTTCCTTTGTGTTATGTATACATATGTATATATGTGTAGCTATATATAGGGAAACGTTAAGTTTACGACGAATATTCTGGCAATATTTAAAAGTGTAGGCACCATATTTAAATTGAGTTTGGCACATGAGCTTATGAGTGGCTGTGATTTCAGATTCCGTGAGTTGCTGAAGATGGTGATATATGTGCAATATATATAATAGGAATTTTCCACAAGAGTACTTATCTGTGAACCTCTGATGAAGCTAAAGACTCAAGGCTATTGAAATTGTAGCCATGTACTGCAATGATCTAATGATAAAACATTGAAGAATATCAAATCAGCTATATAAAGATGCATTAAGATGTGTAATTGCCTGGATTGTATCTACAATTATTTATATTATATATGTCTTACTGGTTAGTACTTATATATTTTTTATGTAAATTTATCTTTTTCCTCTGGCAGATGATTTTTCTTTATAAATCATTGTTTTCTCTTGTGCTTACTGTTTCAGTATACATTACGTGGTAAATTTAAATAAGACAAAATGAATGAAAGTACAGAAGAAAACCAGCACCTACCTTTGGTTCTTGAAGAGATAAATCTTGTTGAGTTGCGACCTGTATTCCCGGATACGAACAAACGATGTGTAGATGTGTGGATGGAGAAGATAAATAAGGGAGTGTTAACATATATAAACTTTAAAGAATACTGGCGACTTTGGGTGCCAAAAATATATAGTCCAGAACTTAACGGCAATTGTCTAGAATGGGTTATCGATGAAGACATGGTAAACAGAATGTTTCTGAGACCCTTGGAGGAATTTATATGTGGTGGTGATCCACAGTTGATTCTCAAGGAGCTTGCTAAGATGGACAATCCACCAACCATATGTGGCAGAATGTTTAAGATGGGTGAACCAACCTACAGTTGCAGGGAGTGTGGTATGGACTCTACGTGCGTTCTCTGCGTCGACTGTTTCAAGCAGTCAGCTCATCGAAACCATAAGTATAAAATGGGTACGTCAAATGGAGGTGGATGCTGCGATTGCGGCGACACAGAAGCCTGGAAAAAGGAGCCATTCTGTGAGACACATATTGTAGGAACACTGACGAAGGAGTCTCCTGGTAATAAGCTACCTGGTGATATCGCAGAGAGAGCAGTAGTGACTTTTGAGGCATTATTGGCATACTGTTATGATCTACTGACTCTGAAGTCACTTACATCGGTACCGCCGAGTCTCGATATTAAAGAAGTAGCATCAGCATCTTACCTATATGCGTTTGACCAATTGGATTTTTTAAATAATTACTGCACTGTACTCTTCAATGATGAGCATCATACCTTTGATCAAGTGATAAACATGCTCATTCGCGTACTCAAATGTTCACAGAAAGAGGCTGTTGAATATGTGACAAGTGTTGATAGAGAGGGTAGAACCGTGATAAGATGCTCAGAATTTAAACAATGTAATGATTTAAAAGAGGAGGTCGAGAAATTCACGTATAGGCATAGCGATCGACCACTCAAGGTAGCCGTCATCCATGGTTATGTAGTCGCCCATCAGGCGTTTACTATAAGACTGCTCAAATGGTTGCAACAATTCATAAGTCATTGCGAGGGTTTCCGCATCCTATTTAGCAACATTGCTCTTAATACGAAATTAGTTGATGATCATTCAGTTGTTCAAAGCATACTCACGAGAGATTCGCAACTGTGGAAATCCGCCAGAACAGCATGGCACAGGTTATTCATATATGGAATGCTCATGGAATATGAGAGTAAAAAAGCGCTCTCTGTTGTATTTACTAATTATTACGGAAATGTTATGAAGGATTTCATAAAGGACGATCATGATCATTCGTTCTCGATCGTTTCGCTCTCTGTTCAGTTGTTCACCGTGCCCACCTTGGCGCATTTGCTTATCGCAAAGCACGAGGCTGTGTTTATCCTATTAAACACGTTTATGTCTGAGAGCTCTCGGCGATGTAACGCTGCTGGAAAATTCGAGTTTGAGAGAAACATGCCACACCACAACTTCAAGCGGGCACAGTTCATACTTTATGATCTTCGGTACTTGCTGAGTGCAAAACCAGAAGAATGGACGGATGATCTGAGACATGGCTTCTTGCACGGTCTTTCGAAGCTATACGATCTCTTTTCCAACATGCAGTGTATGGACGCAGTACTTCGACAAGTCGGACAACATATGGAATACGAGCCGGAATGGGAGTCAGCGTTTAATCTGCACATAAAACTATCACCGATCATTACGTTGGCTTTGGAGTGGTGCGGTTCAGACCGAGTTGTACTGATCAAGTGCTTTGGATCACTTCTGAGATACCTACATAAACAGCTGGCAAACGAGCAGCAGACAAGCCAGGTACGAGAGCTAGCGGATCATAGTGCAACGTGCCTGCAATACGATGTGGCATCCGAACCAGTTTCTATCCATCTACCGCTCTCGAGATTTCTCGCCGGTCTATTCTTGCATCTGGAAAAATACAATTTACACTTTCATTCATCTGACTTTCAGTCATTTAATACTAGTAATAGCACTTCTAATAATAGCAATCAAAAACCGACTCCTGAACAGATCATCGATCCTGTACTGACGGCACAGGCCATGATTTCGCAGGTGCACGCGGGCATGTGGCGGCGGAACGGTTACTCTTTGCTGAATCAACTGTATTTTTATCACAATGTTAAATGCCGTAGCGAAATGTTGGACCGAGATATCGTTTTATTGCAGGTTGGCGCGTCGCTAATAGAAAGCAACGAATTTTTGATTCATGTTCTAAACAGATTTAATCTCCTTAACTGGGTACAATCAGATTTTGAGGTGAATGCCTTAAAAAATCCAGAGGAGGATAGTATGCGGCAGACGATCAATCTAGTAGAAGAATTTTTGGGCTTGCTCATCACGATCATCGGCGAGAGATACGTTCCCGGAGTTGGTCAAGTGACCGCAGATGATCGTCTCAAGAAGGAAATTATACAACAGCTGTGCATAAAATCTCTCTCGCACTCGGAGTTGAGCAAGACTTTACCGGAGGACGTTATGCACAATGTTCAAATTGAGTTGGAAAGAGTAATACACGAAGTAGCGACATTCAAGAAACCACTGGATATGTCGGCGAAGGGTGTGTATGAACTCAATCCACAATTTTATTCAGAATACAATGTGTTCTTTTATCATTATACGAAAGAAGAGCACAGCAAATCCGAGGAGATTCAACGAAAGCGCCGAAAAGCTCAAGGAGAGCTAGAATGTTGTCCACCGCCGAAGCTGCCTAGATTAATGGAATCGTTCAGTTTGGTGGCGAATCTGTTGCAATGTGACGTCATGCTTCACATCATGCAGACTGTTCTGGAACGTGCACTTAATTTCATAGCTAGGAGCTTCTCCGAGCCACAGGTGCACAAGGTACTATATCTGATCGGCTATGCATTACAAGAACAGGAATCCGGCTACTATCCTTTCCTTGCGTTTACCGAACGAGCAGTGAAATGGAAGATTTACAAATTGCTGGAAAATCTGACCAGCAGTCCGCGCATGGATGCTCACAAGGATCTACTCATATGGGTTTTAGCCAAATATCGTCAAGTCGCCAGTATGTCTGGAAAAGAGGCCAGTCCGGCGCCTCTTCAGTTTGAGCAGCACCAACAACAAACAGGCGATACAGATACTAATACCAATAAGAAAACGGATAAGGAATGGCGAACGAAAATGGCAGCTCAGAAACGTGCGAAGATCATGGCACAAATGGCAGCTATGCAAAAGCATTTCATGAAGAAGAATGCTACCTTGTTCGATGTAATAACTGTGGAAGCCAAAACAGCAAATTCTGATTGCGGCTCCGCCATGGATTTAACGGAGGCCTCTTCTCGGGGAGGTATTGCCGTTGGTCTTCATCAGACTAGTAGGACGTGCGAACAGAAAATGTACACTTGCATTCTGTGCCAAGAGGATCAGACCATAACGGAAACTGGTTCGGCAATGGTGTTGGCTGCATTTGTTCAGCAATCCACCGTGTTGTGTCAATATCGTGATGACTATCAAGAGCCCGATCCGTTGTATCTATCAGCGAAATTGGGCGTATCACCGCACACGAGCACATGTGGCCATGTGATGCACGCTCGCTGCTGGCAAGATTACGTCGACAACGTGCTCGCTAAGGAGAACCGGCGACCTTATAGATCACGGCAACAGGCTAGTTTTGACGCAGAGAACCATGAGTATCTTTGCCCGCTATGTGAGTGTCTCAGCAACACAGTTCTCCTGCTTGTACCACCCTTAGGAATATTGCAACCATCTCTGGAACCTCAACCGAATATCAATTTCGAGACGTGGCTGAAGGTAATGGCGCTCACGCTAGAGTGCAAACCGAACAGGAAATTTGGCAAGGTCGTAGAGAAGGACGAGGATACATTGGAGGGTGAAAGAATAGTCAATCCTATGGTAGTTCTTCGTCAACAAATTGGATCTGCTTGGGAACTATTTTATTCGCAGTATTCGCGATACGGACCACACCTCGCGCGAAGGATGGAGACCATGATCCACATGTACGCTTCACTTTTTGCAAAAACTACATACAAAGGATTCGGTAGTATCGATAGCGATTCAAAGCTGCCTTTGTTAGCCTGGAAGTCAGTATCATACACGATCCATGCGATAGAGTTTCTGTTGCGGGATACGGAAAAACCATTGCTGGGTTCCATGACCGCCCGACAAAGCAATAGTATAAGTAGCCTGGTGAGATTGTCAGCCCTCTTAGGTGCGAGTTTCTCGAATCGTGCAAATCTCTGGTCACAGCGCGATCAAATCAGAAGTTATGCAGCGTCATTGTTGACGATGTTGTTAGAGGCACCGTCCACTGGACCAAGCATCTTCGATATCGATCCATTCGGCATACTAGTACCGCTTATTAACTCGTTACCGAGCATATTTCATACAAAGGAAAACGCTGTCTCAAATCCGCCGCCTATCATTACGGGCGATGTGTTTGACTCGCATGTGCTCAAGCTCGTGTTCCTGTCTCACATAGCAAAAATTCTGTATACATCTGACTTCGCCGACGCGATGGAGCTAGATAGTAACGAGACGGAGGACGATGATAACGAAGATGAAAATATCGAAACCAAAATGGACTTTGCTCTGTTCCATATTCTGGGTGTGCATTATGACAAGCAGAAAGCTAGCGACGTATGGCGACGAGTGGAATCCGCTTGTCGACCTTTCCTCCGATGCTGCGCTATTTACTTTCATTATGTGACCGACGTTCCGCCGCCAAGCGAATTGACGGAGGTGCACGGTGATACATACGAAAAACTCTGCCAGTACCTGGGATTACCCACTACCTGCGACGCTTTGATCAACTCTCATCTAGAGGTCTCCCTGAAATTGATGGCTGTATGGCGAAGACATTCTACCATCTGGAATCACATGTTGGGCGAAAGGAAGGTGACGATTATCAAGGATCCATTGAAGGTGAACAAGCTGATAGATTTACCGGAGGATTATAGCGAGCTCATCAACTCGATATCCCAGTTCACTTGTCCGAACAGGGATCAGGAAGACTCACGTAATCCGACGATGTGCTTAGTCTGCGGCGAGATGCTGTGCTCGCAGAGCTATTGTTGCCAGATTGACTTCAACAAGACATCGATAGGCGCGTGTACGTTCCACGCGAACAAATGCGGCTACGGCGTCGGTATATTTCTGCGTGTACGTGAATGCGAGATCCTTTTCTTGCGCACGCCTAATCGCGGTTCTTTCCTTTGCCCGCCATATCTCGATGAGTATGGCGAGACGGATCAGGGTTTACGGCGTGGTAATCCATTGCATCTCTGTCACGAGAAGTACCAACGGCTGCACCGCTTATGGCTCGGTCACGGAATCCACGAAACCGTCACCCGGGCGTTCGAGCAATCGTCAAACACTCTGTTGCCGACCCAGTGGCAGCATCTATAACTTCATGAGATTCCCTATAATGCCACAGATCTGATGTTTAGACAAAAAAAAATGAGAAAAGATTTTATTCTTACATGCTTAAGCGAACGTAGCAGCCTAAATATTGATTGTTGATCGTCCAAGGTGCAATCTGCGTTTGCATTCAAAATCCACAAAATTAATTTATTCGGCGCGTATATCAAAGTACGTCTTTATACATTTAAAAACGACATTGGATAGATATGTTTTCTCTTTTCCCTCTTCCTTTCTCCTGTTTCCCTTGCAATCGTAATAGCTTCCCGTACAATCGTGTTGCAATAGCTATTTTTAAAAAGTTTATCGGTATCGCGATTTCAGAATTTGTTAAATTTCTATTTTAAGATTTGAAGTTAAAAAAATTTCTATTATTTGTTGAAATTATCATCTGTTATGTAATTAAGATATGGCTCTACATATTTATTCACCAAAATTGTTGCGTGTGTTTTGTTGTTAGATACAAGTTCGTGACTAACATCCATGATATCCTGACAAATTGTTCGTTTTTTTACGAAAATTTGGAAATTCTCTACGCGTACAAACGACAGAGTTTGTGTTCTACATCACATCCGAAGACCTAGAACAATGAGCGAAAGGGCGACTATCAGTCATCCACACATTTTACCGTATAAAAATCACGAGATTTTGATTATTTTTGTGCACAATAGCAATACAGGAAAAAAAAAACAAATGATATTAAGATTTTTATAGTAAGTATTCGCGAATTATTCTAGGTCTCTAGGTCCCCCCCTTTTTTCTCCCGTTCTCATCCCCTTGACTTTAATTCGTGCATAGATAAGACATTTATAAAAGAGATTAAAAAAAGAAAAATTCGCGGTTATCAGATGGAGTAATTTTTTAAATTTCAGTGGTGTATGAAATAAATAATACGTAATTTAATATTTGTTTCTTTCTCTCTCTCTCTATCTATCTATCTCCATCTATCGTCGCTAGTTTTTTCTAAACTACTGGAAGCGATGTTAACAAACCGCTCCGGAAGATTGAAGCTCTGGCGTCGTACTTGACTATTTGTTTGTTCAACTTATACGATTCAACTGATTCTTACGTACACCTGTAACTGATGATTATAGAAAATAATTTTAGGATTATTGTTATTAGATGAAGAAGCGTGTACATATTGAGATTGTAAGATGAGTGAATTTACCGAGTGCTGCTTACCTTTCATTTATGTATACCACGATCCGTTATGAAAGGACAATTTGTAGCGGGTTATTTTAAAATATCAGATTAATCAATTTTTTATTTCCTTTCTACCTTTTTTTCTTTGTCCCCTTCGTTAGGATCCTTGTCTCCGAATGTCGCAATTAATAGAAAATCATTGTAGCGTATTTCGCGAAGGTCATCATTGTGACGGGGGATGTACAGCATTATTGCTTTTGTCATTACACCTGAAATTGTTTAAACAATTAAAACTTTGATGCCTTGCACCCGGTATTTCTATAGCAATACGCATGAAAGGTTGTGCCGCTGTACATTAGATCGCTTAGATGATATGCAAAATGATCAATTAGTTTTGAAGTACTTGTGAAGTACTTGTGAAGATACGTATATTTATATACGAGTTACAATAATTATATTTGTTATGAACAACATCATTAATGCGGACGTACACACGTCGTTAATGTACATTGATTTAGATGTATTTTTACTACAACTGCATAATGCGAAAAAATAATTTTAAAATGCAGTATAAATTATTTGAATTCTGGATCTTGGAAGATCTTGATAAACATGTTCTATAGTAGATATATCTTTTCAAATTTCAAATGTCGTGCAGGATCATTTGTATTACTTACTTGGAAGTTCTGATATCGCTAAAATAGTCCTTAAGAATTAAGAATTTACCCCGCGATTTTATCCAGAAAGAGTATTAATCGAAATGGCAAAACGCATTGTCGCTGCTTTACATTTGCAACATCATACATTTGTTTTTCCCTTAATTCTTCGAATGTTGCTTGCGAAACGAGAATGTGAAGTACATGGAAAAAGATCGATTTATATACGAATTCAAGTTATTTATATTCTTTAGAATTCAATAAATTAATCTTGGAGAGAAAAAAAGGAAGACTGTGTTATTATAGATAAAAGAATCTCTCGAGTATTTAATATAAATTTATGTATAATTATATATTATAACATCTTTTCTTCAAGAAAAAAAATCTGCTTAAAAAACTTAATGTTTTTGTTTTCCTAAGAGATAACAATATCTAAAGATAACGATATAAACGTAATTAACGATTAGTTCATCAATAGCTTTAGTGTTTCCCTGGCACAGATAAAATTATCAATATTTTAACTTGTAAGAAAAAAATTAGATTAGAAATAAGGAGCTTATATAATTAGAAATTCTATTGTATGATTCGATTTGCCGATTAAACCCTTAACTATATATCCAAAATCCATTTTTTATACGATCGAATCTTTTGGACTCAAAGCCTTCTTTTTCATTGTATTTTTTACAAATTTCAATGGGTTTTATTTATTTATTTTTTTTAATTTAAATGTCGAAAACTGTAAGAAATTTATATATGTTTATAAATAAAAAAAAGATTTTAATATTAATGTTAAAAGTTATGACTAAAATGTGAAAAAACATTTTTTATCAAAATGCGTAAAACAATACTCTGTTCAGAAAATATCTTTACAAAAAAAAAAACGGAAAAATAGAAATTTTAAAAAAGAAGTTTTTAAGAAAAAGACATCGAGAATAAATTATTTCATAACCATTGTTTGCATAAAGTATTATTATTATTTTAATGGATGAAGTTGAAGTATTATTTTGAGTAAAACAACGTTTTACTAAAAAAAACATCTCTTTATAAAAAAACTCTTAAAAAACCAAAAAACAAAAACAATTACCGATTTTGAAAGAAGAAAGTATGATTTTAATATAAAAGCACTTTTTATTACAATATATATATATATATATATGTATATATATATTTCGGCTTTTTGATGAAATTTCCATCACCACTATCATTGAGAAACTTACTGAGAATCTCTACATCTTCGTGATCCAAATAACTTAAGAAAATTTGTTTATCTTTTATATTATGTT